GCTGCATTAGCAATGGCGATCAATATCTTAACGTGACCTGATACGTTCGGAAGCTTTGGGAACAGGCCGGAGGGGAGCATGCGTCAGTTGTGTTAGGCCACTGCATCCGATCCCCGCGATGGTAGAAATCACTTGGCTACCTAATGCTTCGCAACTGCTTCGTTCTAACTACGAAGTTGCTGCCCTCTCAGAATCCCCTTCCTGCTCGAGTTCCACGTTGTCAGTATGGCGCGTATAAACCCAGAGCAGTCACGCCTCCCTAGCGTCTCACCCCAGCTTCCCGCACAAACACCTAACAACAACCCTATGGATTACGGAGCAGTATCGCGACGTCCGAATCATGTGACCAAGAAATTTGTCCTGTGCTTTGATGGTACAGGTAACAAGTTTTCGGGTACAGATTCGGATAGCAACATCCTGAAGATTTATCGCATGCTCGATCGCAATGGGGACGATCAATTTCATTACTATCAGCCCGGAATCGGCACCTACGTTACTAAAGCCAATGGATCTATGACCCGAACAGGCCGATGGGAGAGGTTTCAGTCGTGGTATGCGAAGGCAAAAGACAGCGCGATAGGTATGTTCGATCGGACTTGGCTGCCAAGCATGAGACCTAATCTAGGATAGGAACTTCATTCGACCAGCACGTTATGGCAGGATATAAGGTTAGTAATTAACTGCATGAAACAGAGCAGCAGCTCCGGTTGATCGCTTGAAGGAGCAACCATAGCGCATAGCACTGACACGCTTTGGACAGTTCCTGATGAGATACTATACGCCTGGCGATGACATATTCTTCTTTGGATTTTCACGAGGTGCCTACACAGCTCGTTTCCTTGCGGAGATGCTCGATCACGTTGGCCTTCTCTCTGTAAGCGCTTGTTCACCATATATCAATAAGTTTCTAACGTGCAACAGGCTGGAAATGAAGAGATGTGCCAGTTCGCATGGAAGTAAGTACAGCCTGAAGTCCTTGTAAAACCCTCACTTACACTTTTGGTCAGAACATTTCAGAAGTGGCAATGTCGATTGCCGGAGGAGAAGGGTAGCAAAAGCCGCAAGTCTGGCGAGAAATCAGAAAAGCTAAAGCTTCTCGAATTCATGTGCGCGTTCAGGGAGACATTCAGCCGCCCTGTCAAACCCATACGCTTCCTCGGTCTTTTCGATACAGTCAACAGCGTGCCTGCATTCGAGAATGCATGGATGCAACGAAGCAGGTTCCCGTATACCGCAAGAAGCAGTGCGAACGTCATACGTCATGCGGTCTCTATTGATGAACGGCGTGCAAAGTTCAGACAAGATCTCATCTCACAAGAGAAGCCAGACAGATCAATGCTTTACAAACACCGTCATCACAAGCATCGGCAGCAAATGAAGGATATGATCCACAGTGATCATGAGGATCATGATTGTGACGAAAAGTATCACGAGGAACATCAGGATAGAGGTCGGCGGAACACGTTAGCACCGCCTGAGCGATTCAGAGATCCACATGAGACTTCAGGCGTGCGCAGCCGTAGCGCAGACCGCTCACAACTGGATGGTGTTCATGGCTCTGCTACTCCTTCAATGCGATCGTACGATGTAGCAGGAACATTTAACTCTCAAGACGAGGATGGCGAGCAAGACATTCAAGAAGTCTGGTTTCCAGGGTGTCATGCAGTGAGTACATTTTACCTGGGATAGACCCTCAAAACTGACAATGCGTAGGACATTGGCGGAGGATGGCCTCTCGGTGACGATGATGCAGCCTTGAGTCACGTAGCGCTGGTGTGGATGGTGCGCGAGGCTCAAAAAGCTGGTCTCGACTTCGACGAAGACAAGTTGGAGGCCCTGAGCTGCTGCCATGAGGAACCTACAACCACCGTTTCGCGAGCCCAAAACAACATACCGATGATTGCGATTGATCCTGCATCACCCTCACCAGTCATTCCACGCAAGAATTCGGATGCGCCATCCATGGATACAGCAGGCTACACTGACGACGACAACATACTTTCGCATCACCGTGAACACCCAAACACACACTTCCATAAACACCTCCACAGCGCCGCAACTAAAGGCCGTATCCATGATGTTCTCCAGTTCAATAATGGCGCCAACCGTTTGGGCGTCGTCTCGTGGAACATAATGGAGTATCTACCCTTTCGACGTATGGATCTACAAGAAGACGGAACCTGGAAAGCAATCAGATGGCCTTTGCCTAAAGGCGAGACCCGTGATATACCCGCCGATGCCGTTATCCACAGCAGCGTGATTAAGCGTATGCGCGCAGACCCAACCTACCGTCCTGGCAATCTGATAGTAGGTGGTGGTGGGAGAGGTGTCAGGCACGCACCCAAGGACATGGGTATGGGTCAATGGGTTGTCGCTTGTGATGAAGGCCACCATGTAGGCGAGTGTTTCAAGCGCAGACACCCACCTGAGAGGACAAAGACAGACGAGATGGAGCAGCCTGCGTGTGATGGTGGTATGCAGGTAAGCTTCCTCTGATCGTGAATACCGAGAAGGCGGAACTGATTTTCAGTAGGGAAATTACTTTGCTGGCCGCAAGAAGTCGACTGTCATGTAGACCAAGACACTAGTCCTATGCGCCGCTTCTACCTAGATAGTTCCTGAACACTGCTTCCAATTTACCCCGCTTCCAATCTGGACGTCTTGAAGCCGATGCTCTTTGCTTTTGATGGTGTCATATAGTGAAGTGTGTTATTGAGATTATAGTGACGTGCATGCTGTACGGCCTCGATACATGATCATTTATATCGTCTTTTCAAATCTTCGCTCATCTACCCAACATCTTCTTCAAGGAATCTTGTGCTCAAGCCTTCTGCGCATCATGACCCCAGTTCTTCAAGCTCTTATAGCTCTTACTATCGGTGTCTTTCTTCGCCTTCTCTTCTTGCGCAAGATGCCTCTTGCAATATGCTACTACCTTGCGCATGTGATCGATGTCTTCCTGGTCGTATTTACTAGCTTCCTTCTTTGGATTCTTCTGCAAGATGGCAACAATTTTACGGCCTGAATCATGACCGATTGTTTCGCCTGAGCCGTTATCCTTGGACCTGTAGGCGCCTTAGAAACTGTGTATGCCATGCAATTCGCAATGTCAGCATTGCATTAGGAGGAGAGTTTACCAGCCGGCTCCCTCGGACTCTTCGCTGCCGAGCCAGTCTTGTAACTCATCTGCTGACATGTTGACAAGCTCGTTGAATTCCCTTGGGGCGCCGTAAGCAGTTGGCCTCGCCACAGTTCACACAAGCTACTCACTCAATTACGGTTTCATTGTCCTTGACCATCTTGCTATGTGTTTAGGAATCGTGATAGGTACTTCGAAATGAGTATTGTCCAGTATCTTCTTTGCAGAATATGCTGTCGACGTTTCCCAGTTCGATATGCTCAATCCGCTCTTCAGCGTCGTGATGTCATGACATCACGACCACGCCCTAGCGCTACTGATGGCGCCCAGCCCTGGGGCACCAAGAAACGGTCGCACGTGACCTAGCGGAGCGCGTCGCGTCTCGCAGTTGGCATGAATGTTCCTCACGCAGCCAGACATTGGCGTAGGGATATTGGCGCAGTAAAGGATACGAAGACTGCATCAAGCCGTATCGTCTCGCCGCATTCTCGATGCAGTCTATACTACATTCAGCACCAGAAGCTGGCGACCTCTCGGGTGCGCTAAACTGTATGGAGCGGAAAACTGCGAGAGTCAGATCTGAAGCAATTTTGACGTTGGACTGTGTGAGCTATAAATCCAGCCGGAGGTCGCTGTCGTACGAGAAGTTACTGCAATGTTGGTTTCGTTGTTCCATCTCCAGCTTTCGTCTCCAGCTTTCGTCCCCAGTGCTTACTACTTAGTGAGAAGTTTTCTCCAGTCTCCGCAGCCTCCGCAACCCCTTCTTCTCCTCACCACACGCAAGCTCCCCTCAAAGTTTTCACACCCACTCCGCGATGTGGGAACTACCGAGATTACGGCCTCACTTTCTCGTCCGCTGCGGGTCGGGCATGCCAAGTTAATGGAATGTTCTTAGTGGCTTCCTTGAGCCTCATGTGGGCCTCCTGCACCAGTCCGAACCAATCTGTCGCCGCAACCTGGCTTACGTTGCACCCAAAACGGGTCCCTCGCTATACCTGACCGGAGGAAGACTGCAAGCGATCGGAGATTGCGAATCAAAACAAGCGCTGCGACAAAGCTTATGCCGGTTCACGCGGCATTTGTTTAAAGAGTCGGAGGGATGGTCGGAGAGAGACTGGTGTTGAGGTTTGCACAGACCTGGATGGGGTCGTACACATCTCCATCATCCCCACTGCCGAGAGAATCTGTCGCATCTTGAAGTGAACTATCTTCACCGACATGGGCCCGGCCGAGGAATACGCGTCGTTGAGTCGACATCCACAAGTCACGCGACTATCAATAGGTTCTTGGGGATCGGCTGTGCGGCACAACGGTCCCTGAGGCTCGTCGTTGTATGCCATGCATCTGAATGCGGGGTGGGTGTCAGAGGCGTTCAAATCGCATTAGCAGAACGTCCTGTACAACGCCTACCGTCAGATGAGCATGCAAGAACACGATCCGATCTATATGAACTCGAGGCTGTGTATTTTTTTTGGGGGCACTTCCCGGAACGTCGGGCGGATTTGGCTTGGCCGTCGAATCGCGACCAGCTTCCCCACATACACGCCCCTTGTCCCCCAGCGGCTGCGTCGCATTGACAAGCCCACTACTGCAGTTTCAGAGCCCCCGGATGACTTCTGTTTGGCTGTGGAGGAGGACAAGCCAAGCTTGTAAGGCCGCTCGCGCGCAATTTCGCGTGACGGCGTGGCGCGTATGACGTAGGGGCCCCGGAGTCGAAAGCTCGGCGCGATGCTGGGCATTACCGCATAACGGGACACGGGATTGGAATTGGCATCGATACTTAAGAATGGATGTGTACCGGACGAGTAACCCCATCTTGCTTTGAGCATCAATCTTCCCGTGCTCAAGTCATCTTACAATCATGGGTTTGGGCAAAGTGTAGGTTTTGATCCGATTGAAGTACGCATACGGTTGTGCTAATTTTTACAGTGCTGTCAAGATACGCGGCGCCGAGTGCGGCATTGAAGCCATCATACTTGGAGTGATTACTTCGATAGGTGGTTTCCTGTTTGGTTATGACACGGTATGTACCATATATGCTGTTTCCAATCGCTCAACGGCTTATTCAAGATAGGGTCAAATTTCAGGAATGCTCATCTTTGAGGATTTCATCCAGCGATTCGGACAGGACCAGGGCAATGGCGAAAAGGCTTTCAACCCCACGATTCAATCCTTGCTCGTTTCCCTCATGTCCATCGGTACCCTCATCGGCGCACTTGCTGGTGCCTACACTGCTGATTGGTTCGGTCGTCGACGCAATCTGACCGTTGGTGTGGCCATATTCGTTATTGGCAACATCATCCAGGTCACCGCGATGACCACCTGGGTACACATGACAGTTGGTCGCATTGTCGCAGGTCTTGGTGTCGGTATCCTGTCTATTGGCGTACCAATGTACCAATCTGAAGTATGCCCTCGAGAGATTCGTGGTGCCGTCGTCGCATCTTACCAACTCATGATCACTGTTGGAATTCTCATCTCCAACATCATCAACTACGGAGTCCGCGACAACCCAGGCGAGGATAGCGACGCTGCCTGGAGGATCGTTATCGGGTTGGGAATCGGCTTTTCCCTTCCTCTTGGTATCGGTGTACTTTTTACACCGGAGTCTCCAAGGTGGTTGGCGGGTAAAGGACGATGGGAAGAGGCACGCATGTCAATGGCCCGTCTTCGAGGCCTTGTGCATGACCCCAACCACGAGCTGGTCAACTCGGACTTCAAGGAAATGGAGGATTCCATCAACGAACAACAGAGCGCTGGACAAGGTACCTGGATGGAATGCTTCACTGGCCAGCCATCCGGCATTCCGCTTCTTGCTTACCGAACCCTTCTCGGATGTGCTCTGCAATTTTTCCAGCAGTGGACCGGTGTCAACTACTTTTTCTACTACGGAGCGACCATCTTCCAATCGGCAGGTATTGACGACCCTCTCCAGGTTCAACTCATTCTTGGCGCTGTCAATGTGGTCATGACCATTCCTGGATTATGGTTCATTGAGCGAGTTGGTCGTCGTGTGCCTCTCGTCGTTGGTGGTCTGTGGCAAGCTGTCTGGCTGCTGATTTTTGCTATCATCGGTGTCGTGCTACCGCCACAGGACAACCCGGCCGCCGGTATTGTTATGATTGTCGCTGCTTGCATGTTCATCGCAAGTTTCGCCTCTACCTGGGGGCCTTTCATTTGGGTTATCATTGGAGAGACGTTCCCACTCCGCACTCGCGCGAAGCAGGCCTCTTTGGCTACTGCTTTCAACTGGCTCGGTAAGCTATACATCTTCAACACAACAAATCTATTCACTAACGCTCCATGTTAGGCAATTTCATGATCGGTTTCCTTACGCCGTATGCTGACGACGGTATCGGTTACGCCTTCGGTTTCGTCTTCTTCGCATGCAACTTCGTTGCGGCAGGTATCGTTTACTTCTTCGTATTCGAGACCAAATCATTGTCTTTGGAGAATGTCGATATCATGTACTCGGACCCAAACATATCGGCTAGGACCAGTAAGAAGTGGGTCCCAGCTGGATACATCAGCCGTAACGAACGTGACGACACTTATTGGGAGCGTCGTCACAGTGTTGTTGGTGCTACTGGTGCTGCAGCATCCGAGAAGGTCGGCGACAAAGATGTTGATACTTCGCCTGAGAGGGGCATGTCAACGCACCACGAGAGGGTTTAAATATACTCCCATGGTCCAATACAGGATATCTTTACCTAGGCAGTCCCAGGTTAGAGACGTTCTCGCACTGTCGCTGTCTTCTAGCGGCTCCTCCATTTTAGCACTGCGCTACATACCGCCAAGAGGCGTCCATAATTTAGACTTATTCGATTCCAACACATTAACAATTCGCTGCCTTTATGATGTGAGAAGCTCTTTTGCATTCCGGAAAGGTGCCGGCACAGCCACCCCTGCTAATTTTAGCGTGGCGCATGTCACAAACACAAGCGGCAACGCGTCAGCTCCACGTCTTCTCTCCAGCCACTCTCCGCTTTCAAACAACAAGATACAGTGTCCTCGCTCGTTTTACACTTCTGCCGCTCGATATCCAGGATTCTCTTCTGCTCAACTACGAACACTGAAATACCGGAAGATACGAATACGGAGCTATGCCGCCAGCAGTACCACTTCACAACACCAGCAACCTCGCCAAATTAGCGCGTCGGGCCCTGGTCACAGCGGGGCCGGCTGTCGCTTCGCAGGCCTCGCATCACTTCGAGCGTCGCGGATTGAGTGTAAATCATACTCAAGGAGTTACGCTGGGTGTTATTGCTGCATATGTTGTTGTTATTGCGTTGTTGTGGAATTTACCGTATGTGCGATGGGTGTTGTGGCCGTTCAAGGTATGTACACCGTAGTAGCCCTAGGGGAAGATGGCCTGGAATTGAGATCATCAGTGTGGTTGATGACCGGGTTCCTTGAGCTTGCAAAATCAGCATAACAGGAGACATGGATGGCTGATTGAATCCACAGATGCTAGTCATTGCCTTCCACGAATTCTCCCATGCAATAACGTCTTGTTGTACTGGCGGGCGAGTAGAGTCAATCTCTCTTGATCCTCATGAGGGAGGTGTGACGCACATGCGCGGCGGCAAGCAATTCATTACTCTACCTGCTGGCTACTTGGGGTCTTCGTTGATCGGCGCTTTGCTTACCTTCTGCGGCTTCAACATCGTGGCCTCCAAAGTAGCGAGTATCGTGCTAGGCGTGTGTTTCCTACTGACATTGTGGTGGGCGAGAAAAGACTGGTTGACGATTGTGACTATTCTACTCAGTGTAGGGTTGCTTGTGGCGTTCTGGTTCATCGAACATGGCGAAGCGTTGAGGTTCATGGTCGTGAGTACCCTCTCTCATCCCTTCGAAAACCCTCGAACTAAAAACTTTCCAGCTCTTTATCGGCGTCATGTCTTCTCTATACAGCGTGTGGGATATCTGTGACGACCTCATCCTCCGCAAGGTTAATTCTTCCGATGCCAGCGTCTTCGCCAAGCGGTACGGCGGGTCATCGCAATGCTGGGGCGTCATCTGGTCACTTGTCTCGTTGATTTTTATGGTTTGCGGAATTCTCGCGGGGTTAGCAGCCTTCAAACAGAGTTTTGAACAGCAAGAGAAGGACAGTCAAGACTTTATTCCTACCGTACGCATGATGATGCGGGTATGAGATTTGATCTGAGGACATGACATAGTATGGACGGCTAAAAAATATGTATTTGGACGGCACCTGGAGATCTGAAAAAACTTGGTTGGCGATGATATACCCTTAGATGCGCGTAGTATTGAGCTTTATATCGCTCAGATCGTTTCACGACAGCGGAATGGCATAGCATTCACCCCTCAGTGGAAAAAAGAACAGGTTTCTATGCGGATCTAGTTGAGCTCAAGAGTCATTCTCGTAGGGATGATGACTACCGCTGTTAGACCGAATCACAAGAAAATCGGGGTGCAACTCTAATCATCACCACGTGTCGAATATCCAAACCGCCAGCCACTTTCATCAACAAGGCGTACATCCGCTCCACATCCAATGCAGCTCCTTCCAGGCGTACTTCCTGTCAGCTTACTCCCTCTCAAATAATCCGCTAAACGCGTCCTTCAAAGCCTCCTTCACACTCTCCAACACAATCCTGTCCTCGCCACACTGTCTCTCAACTTGCAGTAAAAGCATATCGTGGACCGCGCGACCCATCTCATGGTCCTTTCCAAGCGATTGCAACCTGCTAGCCAACACTCTCCATTGCAAGACCTCGTCTTCCTTTGCTTCTTCCAATTGCTTCTTCGCAAGCTCGCAATCTTCGTCTCGCTTCAAAATCGCCTCGCGATAGATATCAGCGTCCTTGCGAGACTCCTCTAGCTCTTCGTTGGCAATGTCAAGGGCACCTTTATGGGCACGGAGCTCGGAGGTTTGGTCGCGATATGTGGCTTGAAGAGAAGTGTGGGAGGCGAGAGCGGCGTGGTAACGGTCGGTCAATCTGCAGCATTGAACACAGAGCAACTTGATCTGGTTGCTGCTGTGGGTTGATTTGGCTTTCTCGGCTGCCAGCTCTTGTTTTGTTCTTTGAAGTTCGGCCTTTTGAAGGAGAAACTCACGCTGGAGGATAGAGTGTGCATGAAGTTGGCGTTTCTAGCAGAGATTAATGACCACTTCAAACTCGGGTATACACGTCGCTGTCAATATAGTGTGTTTACTTACAGAAGAGATTTCAGTGGTATGTTTTGTCTTTTTGGATGCGGGCTCTGGGGACGATTCCTGTGCCGGCCGCTTGCTCGTTCTTGGATCTGTGGTCGGTACCATCAGGCCGGGGGACTTCAGCAACGCGACTTGTCGTTCGAGCTCGGTCATGTTGACTCGATCACGGCTTGGACTCATTGGACCGTGTTGCTAGTAGTTCGTAGAGCAAGGTCGAAGTTGGTGCGAAACAGACCAAGGCACAGAGATGCAAGATATACGTGCGCCAGTTCTTCATCTCTAGGTGACTAACAGTTGATCGTGGGTCACATATCGAGTGGGTAGCTTTGAAACGGCAAGTGAATTGTGATGGTGGCTTGCTAGGAGATGACTAAAGGCAGGGTGAAGCGTGGGTACCTGAGTTCTAGCCAAGATGAAGGTGAAGGTGAAAAGTGGCCAATCAAGAGCGGCCTCGAGTTTCAAAAGCCAGAAAAGCTGCATGATAGAGACAAAGCCGCGAACGATTGCGTGGGAGGTATGTTTGCAATCGTCAAGACTCTGATCTTAGTTGGCCACGCTGCTTCGACGGATCTCGTGTTATCATGTTTACAATCGTTGAGTGTCCTCAGTACGGATGTTGAAGTGAATACTTAAACGGGTCAGAGGTCCTCCTCATCGCTCTGAGTGTACCATGGCGATTGATCATCATACTTTGAATAGGTCTTGGATAGATTTCCGTAAAGGCAACCAGTGAATGACTGGAAAAGTCCAACACCTCACGTATGTACTGGGAAAATCCAACTCGAAGTGCTCCACCTTGACAATGGCAGTGTAAATGCTCTCCTGACTATGAGACATCTAATGCAGTCCCACTCCCTTCACTCCCTCAAAAAGCGCGTCCTCCCTGACTAATACACTTCGACACAGGTCCTTCTTTTGCACACTCTGGATACCGCTTAAATGCAAGGTCAGCTCCAGCTCACCCACCAAACTCTTGAGTACATGCTCCACGCCCTTTTCCCCTCCGAGTGCCAGACCATACACGTATGGTCTACCAACTAGCACACAGTCAGCACCCAACGCCATTGCTTTCGCGATGTCAGCACCAGATTGAATCCCACTGTCAAAGAAGATTGTCAACTTGTCGCCAACAGCATCAACGATATGTGGCAATACGCCCAAGGAGGAATTTCCACCATCAAGCTGCCTCCCACCATGATTACTCACAACAACGCCCTGCACACCAACCTCGACCGCTTTTCTCGCATCAGCCAGGCTCTGGATGCCTTTGAGCACGATTGGCCCATCCCAGTGCTCCTTCAAAAACTCCACATCCTCCCAACTATGGCTCTCTCCAGGGAAGATTGTTCTCATCCATTCTGGCGCCGCAGTCTCCATCTTACTCTCCACATCCACGTCATGTCTCTCTTTGAACTGTTTCCGGAACACAGGATCTGTCATACCGAGCTCCACGCCTGTGCGATCTGCGCGCATAAAGGGGTTGTATCCATTATCCATATCTTCGGGCCGCCAGCCAAGGATATATGTATCTAGCGTTACGAACAGAGCTGTAAAACCAGATTTCTTTGCGCGCTGGAGTAGAGATATAGTAATGTCGTCGTGTTCGCGTGAGGGCCAGTAAAGTTGGTACCAGCGTTGGCCGTCGGAGCCGTTGGCTGCGGCGGTATCCTCTATACTCGTGCTACTCGCTGTGCTTAGGATGTATGGGATAGCTTCTTTGGCTGCGGCTTTTGCGGCGGCGACTTCGCCTTGGGGGTTGAAGATCTTCAGTACGCCAACTGGCGCCATGGCTATGGGCGCTACCATTTTCTCGCCGAAGATTTCGGTCGTCAGGTTGGGGAAACCCGTGTACTTTACCAGGCGGTTTGGCACAATAGACCATTTCCTGAAGGCATTGCGGTTTTTGTTTGTTGTTTCTCGTACTCCAGCCGATCCGTAGACGTAGCCCTTGGAGTCGGCTGACATGCGGCTACAAGCCAATTCTTCCCATCTATCGGCCTGGAATGTGAGTGGTGGGCGTTCAAAGTCTAACCCGCGTGTGTATGTTTGCATCTCATAGTCAACGGCATCTTGTTCTGGTTTGTGGTTTTGGAATTTGGGATGGTGTTGGGTTGCTGTGGGCTCGGACATGGCGATGTGGTAGGATTCGGGTTGCCCTTAGGATTGAAGTGATAGAACCCGTCAGGTGAGAATGAGTGATGGGAGTATGGACAGAGCTATTCGATTGGTGACAGACGCTTGCTGGAGCATAATGCACGTCACATCATGACAGCTTTACCGGATACTTTCGGAAAGAAGATAGTGCAGGGCCTAATGGCGCATCCCGCACCGGGGCAGTCTTGTGAAGCTTAGGTGTGAGCTATTTGTCGACTGTTTAGTGTACCTTAGTGGAGACGCAGGATTGTGTTGTCTGTTGGTGCATGTTGCGTCAATGGGTCTCCAGGTGAGGGGGAGCATGACGGTGCAGTGACGTCACGCGCTGTCATGGCAAAGTATGCCCAAGCAGAGCGACATGATGAAGTGTGTAGAAGCAGATGGAGTGGATGGGGACCGATGTCCGCCTAGTGAATCATTTGTATCCGTCTAATAATGTGCCTCTATACCTCCAATCCATGATGATAGCGTGTGCAAAGCATGCAGCCTCTGCTTCGGATGAAAAGCGGGCGTCCCAAACTCCATCAATGCAAATATCGATCATCGCAGTATAACAAGCAAGGCCAAATAAAACGCCTAAACAGCGACGCAGCCGCCGTCAATCTTCAAATGTCCACCAGTCATGAACTTGCTGTCTTCGCTGACGAGGAATGCAACGACGCTGGCCACGTCATCTGGGGTGCTGAAGCGGTCGAGCGCAGTCTCCTCCTTGAGCTCTGCCAGCCTCTCCTTGTTCCAGCCGTCCTTGTAGCCCTGTGTTTGGATGATGCTTGTGTGGATGGTGTTGACGCGGATGTTGAGCGGACCAAGCTCTTCAGCGGCGGTCAGGGCGATGCCGCGCAGGGCAAACTTGCTGGCACTGTATGAGATGAGGTTGGGGAAGCCGCGAAGACCGGCGATGGAGGATCGGATGATGATGGAGCCGCCGCCAGAGGTGGTCTGCATGGCGGTAGCAGCGTACTTGACGCCTAGGAATGCTGGGGGGTCAAGAGTCAGCGGGGGGGTGACGCTATCGAAGAGAGCGGGGTGGGGGGGAAACATACCAGACTTGGCGTTGATGGTCATGATACGGTCAAAGTCGTCTTCGGTGACGTCGAAGATGCTCTTGGACTCGCCGCGATGGCAGCAGTTGAGCAGGGCAGCGTCGAGCCTCTCGAAGCGCTGCACCACCTTCTTGGCGCATGCCTCGACGTCGGGCTCCTTGGTCGCGTCGGCGACAATGGTCAGCAGGCGCGACTCGATGGGCGAGCCCGTGGGAATGGCTGCCTTGAGGACGGGCACGGCAGCCTCGAGAGCGCCCTGGTCGATGTCGATGAGGGCGACGTTGCAGCCCTCGATGAGCAGGCGGCCGGCAGACTCGACGCCCACCTTGCCGCCTCCGCCCGTGATCATGACGACCTTGCCCTCGAGGCGCTGGATGGGCAGCGGCCGTGTGAGGTTGGTGGATGTGGGCGCGCGCTCCATGCCCGGCCGCGGGGGCTTGTTCAGGTTGAGGGTCGCGATGCTGGCGCCGGGCGTGCGCAGGCTCTCGGTCGTGTTTGCTCGCTGCATGGTGGTGGTCTTCAAGTCGGCCGTGGAAGTCGTTGCTCGTGAGGATGTTGCGAGGGCAGGGCTCGCGGGCACAGGGCCATTTTGCTATTTCTACGTGCCATCATCCCCTCCTCACCGGACCCTTCTTTTCCCTCAAGATGACGTATCGCCGGGATTCCCTAGGCGAAACTTTTTCTGCGTTGATCAAACACCGGATGCGCATCCGTTGAGCCTCTTGCTGGCGGCTGTACCCACTGCCCCGAAAATTTCAGCCAATGTCGCCCCTCGCCGGCATTTGGCCGCACCACCTGCTCCAACTCTGGTGCAATGAGCGGTGGGACGTGTCCACTCCATGTTATCACTTATCGTACCCCGTGTGCACGATTGTGGGTGATGTGGGCAGTACACATGCCGCCGTGTGGTTTTTGACCTGCTTAGGGCGGGGTTGTAATCTAATCGTTTCCACCAGTCGCGCGAATCCACTCTCCAGGTGTTCGAACAAGGCGGTCAGGCACAGCGCTATTACTGCCAAACGGGCAAGTAGTCCGGCAAGCTATCCATTGGTAACCTCCCAGCCCAGACGAACCGACTTCCCATCTCCAATCGCGTCGTCGTGACCGGCTAACGCGGAAGATCAAGGCAGCAGACAAAGTCTCCTGTGAAGAGCAGAACAAAGGGAACAACGAGTCGGGTGCAAAATCTGGCGCTGGCATAGTGGATCAATAGCCGATGCTACAAAGACACAGAGTCATGAGCCGCGTTGAAAAAATGACAGCAAGAGACATCACCGCGGCCGGAATTCAGCATTACCAATTTCAGGCAAGACAGGTCAGCAATGTTTGAGGTTCAGGGTTGACCGTCAGCTTTTCATTCAGTCCTCATACAAGGCGTCGCTCTCCTTCACCTCCACCCTGGACAGCACTTTGCATTCACCAGTCCAGGAAGTAGTCGATACCATCTGCGAGCGCTGCCGCGCCTACTGCAGCATGATCACTGAAAGGGTACTCATGTATGCTGATATCCCTCAACGCCGGACTATCCTCCAGCGTGCTGTATAGCTTTTGGCTCAGATCCGTCATCCGCTGCGGTACAAGGATGCTCTGTCTGAAGGCGAACTCCTCATCCGTTTCCGTCCGCCTCTGCACCAGGTTCTGTTCGAGCGCCCCATAGCTAATCTGGAAAGCAGGCTTGGTGGCATTGGAAGTGTTGTTAGCCGAGGGCGAAGTTAGCGGTGCGAGAAAATCCGTGTTGTTGAAGACGTAATCGTTGTTGAAGAAGAGTGCCGGGGAGGCGCTGAGAAATGTATCGAAGAGGTCGGGGCGTACGGTGAGAGCGTACAGGACGAAGAGGCCGCCAAAGGAGTGACCGTAGAGCGCATCGCGGTCGAATTCAGCCTTTGGGAAAGCTGTTTGCTGGACCCAGGGGCGGAGAGCGGTGTCGATGAACTCGATAAACTCATTGGCATTGGACTGCACGCCAGGCACTGTTGGCAATGGGCAGCCGTCGCAGACAGGAGGCTGGAAGTCGTAGCTTCGCTGGGTGCTGTAAGGCGAATCTTCAATGGTCTCCGGGTAGCCTATGCTGACGACGATACAGTCGGGCATGTTGAACTCAACTGGACGACGACGACGAAAAGCTTCCGTGGCAGTCATGCCGAGTGCATTGCCATCGAGGACATACCTAGTAGGGGGTTAGTACTTCTTTTCTCATGTCGCTACTGTAGTCCATGATGGGCTCTTACATCGTCTCCACAGTCGAGCTCTCCTCCTGCGATGTCCAGTTCAACGGCCATGCGACTTGAATTTGATATTCCCAAGACCCGTTGGTCGCACTCCAGAACCCTAGGTTAGGCAAAACATTGGTAGGAAATTCGGTGACGAGGGGCGCAAACTGCCAAGCACCAACTGAACTCATGATGGTGGTGATGAAGACGGACCGGTTTATTCAGATGCAGGTACCAGGGGATCAGGCTACCTATCGGCTGGAATGCTTTTGGCTTTTGTACCTGATGGCCACCAGATTACTCGTCCCAGAAAATACAGACCCGAGGGGCGGGGAGCAAGCCCGTATCCTGTGCAGATACGACGCCGCAATCGCAAGGGCCCCGCAGTAACTTTGCTCTGGTAGGTTAGCATAGACGCGGCATGGGATTCTAGTCCCGGTACTTACAGTTGGACATCCCGGCCTTATTGAACAATATATACATTGCCAAGACGGGGGATCATCCTTGATGATTCCGGTCTCTGTCCGCCTCTCATATGTTATAGAGAAACTGGAGTATCTTACAAGACGATGTCAACGGAAGAAATCTCTCTTGTGCTGAAGAGTCCAGGCTGCGTAATCGCGAATTAGTGCGATGAGACTGCGAGTCAAGCAGCTGTCCAAGTGGATGAGGCGGGTCAGAAGGATTCACGATCTATGTTCTGGCTCTTGAAAACCGACGACTGTACATGTGCTGCACGGACGAGCCTCAGTCCTCGACGGAACTATCGAACGCATGCAAGCCTTCATGCACACTGTGCGCCACTGAAATCTCGATCGTCGTGCCTGATGCGAACGGCATATTCAGGAACAATTGGTCAAGATCGGTTACAGAAGAATTTGACGCTAGTTCATGCGTCTAATCACATCGTAGTTGTGGAAATGGCATGATTAGGTTCACGATACATCCTGCTATAGTTCGGAAGGATGGCGCCGGATGAGCTGGGATTGCTAAAGCCACGTGCTCGTCTCCACCATGTCACACCCGGCCACCTTCGCAATTACCTCGGTAGCCCAATCACAGATGACTGCAATATCATTTCCAGGAGCCAGCAGCTGCGATAGGATATCTTCCGTGTCATTTCTTACGGAGAGAAGTCGGTTGGCGCCGCGCTGTGGGCTTACGACAAAAGTTTGTTAGTTGGCGTCAGCGCATCGGGCCGTAACCATAAACGTCAACCCAGCCCGACCGCAACCAGATCCTGGGGACCCAAGTGCCGGGACAACAACCTCTTCGGACGCAAACTCAGTGCTGGGTTCAACGACGAGTCGTCTGATATTTAATCCGTGGTATTGCGGAACACCAAGATGCAGTCATCCGAATCAAGGTACACATGCAGACAGTGACAGTCGAGGCGAAGCGATGGTAAACGAGATGAGAGTATTAAAGGATGTGTTTCAAGGTACTACTGATTCAGCGATTTGCGCCTAGCTCCGTCTTTCTAGAAGGCGCCTCGCCCAGGCAGAGGGTCGTTCTTCGCGGGACATGACGCGTCATAGATTTTGGGGTTGACAAACTTGGGCGTCGGGTCGTTGTTGTAGGCCAGCTCGACGAGTGTGGCATTGCCTGTGCGTATATTAGCAAAGAAGTAGTCGTACCCAAAAAGCAATGAATCTTACTTGAGTTGTACAAAGGCCATCCGTATTCAGTCAATCCTGTTTGTGAGTCCCGGGCAAAAGCACCCCAGGCGCCCTGGACATATTTCGTGTACTGGTTCTCGGCAGGAGAATTGGGTAGACCAGAGATATCCTGAGCAGTGCCGAAGACTAAGCCAAGATCGGAGCCATGGTATGCAGCGCTTCCTCGGGAACCAAGACCTGCGCTGCCGTTGTAGAGGCGAAGGTTATCCCAATCACCGTGGTATCTGTATCGCCAGGTAGGCACATCATACTGAGCCCGGTATGCAGCGGAGAGAGAGGTTGGACACGTGAAACCGCGCTGAGTGAACAGATCCCATTGTGCATTGGTAAAGTTCAGCTTGGCCGCCCACCCAGAGATGCGATACCAGCCATCTTCATGGTCGGCGTTACCAACCAAGAGTGGAATCTTGGCAAAACAGCCATCGGAAGAGAGTTGTTGGTAATTTTCAAAGACCGTAATGTTGTCGACAGTCGGGTGGAAAGTTGCTTGAGTCAAAGCCACACTTGGCAGACCAGGAACCTTTGCGGAGGCAGCCAGAAGAGCAGACATATTTGCAGAGCGCACGCAAGACACAACTGCAGCAGCGTCATCTGCAGCGCCGCCACAGCCGATGGTCTGGGACACATTGTACCAGATGGACTGCGAGTACTCGACAGTGTTGGGGACGAAGCTCAGGGAGGTTCCAGACATGGGGATAAGGCCAGAAACGATCGGGTCATTCTTCCAGGCGTAGGCCCAGTAGTCGACGGCAGCACCGCCTGCGCTTTGTCCGAAGATGACAATACGCGATGGGTCGCCTCCGAAACCAGCGATGTTATCGCGCACCCATTCGACAGCGGTACGGTGATCGCGCAGCGCGGCGTTCTTCTCCACACCAGGGGCGCCAGCGAAGCCGAAGATACCTAATCGGTAGCTGGGATTGTCAGTAAACGCATGGATAAAGATAGAGTGAATCCTACTTGAATGTCACAACGACCACATCCTCAGCGTCAGCTAGGTATTGGCCGTTGTAGAAGGGAGAGTGAGGACCAGGAATCTGGAAACCTGAAATGGTCGTTAGGGATATTCTGGCGAATCAAATAAACAACGTACGTCCTCCGTGAAGAAATACTAGCACTGGCTTCTTCGCGTCCGCATCACCAGCACTTGCCGTCCAGACATTGAGCTTCAGACAATCCTCAGATACAGAGTTGTTGTTCTGGGCTGCAAAGTTCTTCCACACACGCAGACCGGATGGCTGTGTGAAGTTGGGGAAGGCGGACACTGGCGGCTTGACAGCAGGGCAGTCACTAAAGAGTCGTTAGAAGTATCCTCTATGTCTTGTGTTCCTTACGTACGGAGACTATGATTTGTTAGCGATTGTACTCCATGTTGGCGATATTGCGATTACTAACCCACTCAGATGCCTCGAAGACAGTTCCTGCTGGCGCATCGTACTTCTTCGGCGCAGCAAATCTCAACTCGCCGACTGGCGGCTCTGCATATCGGATACCCAGAAACTCGGTCACATGTGTCTTGTTAGACGATGGGTGACCAATCAAGGTACCACTCGATGTCTCAACATTGGAGCCATTCTTCGGCGCTGCAACAGCCGAACCGAATAGCGAGGCTACAGCTGCAGCAGTAAGGAGGAGGTGCTGCATAATTTCAACTCGAAACAACAACAACCTTGCGCTTTAGGGAATAAATTCCAATGCCAGGCGGGCGACCAGCTGACTTTAATGGAGCGAAATTCAAATCGCGGCTCGGCCTGGCAAGCAATTGGCTCCGCGTTCCTGCGTTGCCGTCGACGCCAACCGTGTTCCATGGGGGCAAAATACACTACAACCAGATAAAGCTCCGAGGCAATTGGAAATGTTGCAAACAGCTCCATATTGAGCGCGCGGCGTTACACCGGCGCGAAAAGCTTCGACGACGTTTAAGACAGGACGGGTGGCTTCATCTCGCACGGCTGCATCCTTTGACATCTCAAGTTACGCTAGTCCCGATGCGCTGCCGCTCCTTCCCGGTCGCGTGGAACCTTTCGATCTGGCAAACGCCAACATCACCACAACATGTAGCATTCGAATGCCTGGGACTGTGACGTCTTGCGATCCGCCACGGCTTTTGCTTGTTCTTACCGAACTTGAACACAGTGGACATGGACAACAAACGCGGTCTGCTTACATCCGGCAGATGTCCGGCTACCGCTGATCTCCATTTGTGATGTCACCCACCCATACCTGTTCAGTACATTACACCGAGGCGATTGGAAGTTTGCCCTGCGTTCACGGCAAACGCCTGGACTCTAGCAAGGAAGAGCTTGCATGCGCACAGAGACCAAGAGATCGGCAGATGTAGTCCCCGAAGGTTGGTATACCAGATCCAATCGTATCGGAATGAAACGACGAGAAATTCGCCGTCACTGCATTCCCGTAATGCCCCCACGAAGGAGTTGCCAGCCGCTCCACAGCCCTCACCCTGCGCTACCGTATCTCCAGGGACGGGTACCTGGAAAGCCAAATGCTAGACGAGGCCCATAATACTATCCGTTCCCGCTGTTCATGGATGTTCCATAGGATTTACCCTCCAGAACTCGAGCACCCTCAAGCGACATGACTTTCAACGTCGGCCTTGGAACTGAAGGCCCAGTTGAGCGCGGATGGGGACTTTGGCTCACCAGTGTCTTATCTGTTATTATCGCCGGTCTTTTCGTCAGCGCACGTCTAGCGCAGCGATTCATCAAGAGTAGCGGCCTGGGAATGGACGACTACATGATCATCGCCGCCTTACTTTCATCAGTTTTACTCTCTGTAACAGAGTGTCAAGGTCAGTGGATCGGTACAACTTTGGGAAATGGGTGCTAACTTTGATCAGCTGTGGTATATGGCTACGGGAGACATTGGAAAGATCTACCCGTCGACTCTCGCGTTATTGCTCGCAAATGGTTCTATGGAGCGAATAGTGAGTTGATATTCATCAAATGCACACATCATCCCAAAAGCATGCGGATCGCTCGGTTTTTTCGGTTTCTGAGACGCTGCGGGGAGTCACTTATTGGAAGTGATGTGAATTTTGACTATGGATTTCACTGACTGTAGCAGTTGTTTACAAAGTCGTTCTCATGTTCAACAAGATCTCTGTGGTTTGCCTGTACTACCGAATCTTCGCCATCACTACAAAATCTTTCCGTATTGCCTGTCATATCATGAGTAAGTGGCTCGTTTTGGACTACAGATCATTGACTGACTCTACTGAAGACGCTTGGGTCATCATGACCGGTTTCGCTTTCACTATCGCAACTGTTTTCCAATGTACGCCAATCGCAGCATTCTGGGACAAAACCATATCTGGAGCCAGATGTTTCAAGAACGAACCCTGGTGGATTTCCTATGCCACCGTTCAAATTACAACCGACTTCATGCTCCTTGCAATGCCTTTTCGAAGAATCCTAGGACTCTCCATGGGACGAGCCGAGAAGTTAGGTGTGGCACTTGTTTTCGGTACGGGTGGCTTGTAAGTATCGGAGCCTCCATTTGAAGCACCTTGCTGACTCCTTAGTGTCACTTTTGCGTCTATCTATCGTGCAACTACAATCGCCAGGTCCGCAAGCGATCCCGATCCGACCTGGGGCCCTGTTCCTGCTACAATATGGTCAGTGATAGAAGCCAACGCTGGTATTATATGTGCCTGTCTCCCCATGCTCCGCGCTCCATTCGTTCGCCTCTTTGGACCACTTTTTGGTTCGGTAGCCACCAAGGCCACCTCGAAGCGGCGGTCGTACCCCATGGACTGGAAGAGCAACCACGGGCCAGCTGGCACCGGAAATAAGAGTAAGGTATCTGGTAAAAGTGCATCTGAGCGCGAAAGCGAAGATGATGCATTGCCACCAAGTAGACCGAGTGAGCTCGGCCGCCGGGGCAGTGGCATCTTTGTCACGAACGAGTTCAGTATTGAGCGCAACGAGTTACAAAAGCAAGAGACAGAGACACGGTCGTGCGAACAAGATGGCGACACTAACACTGCGCTGAGCGTGAACGAAGATAGGCCAGGTGGCAAGAGTCCCTTCTACCACGTCTAAGCAAAAGGACCATATTGCTTCTTCTCGTCCCAGTGCTGTAACATTTCAGCACTAGCTCTGCATGATAAAATATGCAGATTGCCGTCTAGTAGACAAGCTACACCTCTCGCCGACATGCGCATCACGATCTTCAACGTTTCCATCGGAAGGCGCCTCTCTAGTGTTCTTTCGGTCCTATACCGCATAGCCGCTAGCGAACGAGACGGGCGAATTTGCAGAGGCCAAACCGCCAGCCGCTTGTGTTTTGTCTACATATCGACAGTACGTTCACATACAGCATCGTCCTAGTCGAACAAAACGCAGGTGCTGCGTAAAACTCATCATCTTCCATGCCGATGCTGCGCCGTTGCGAAAAACGCTTTGAACTAGGCGACGCTACGCACGCATACGCAGGTACGGATGGACGCTGAGCGACGTAATCATGGATACTACCGTCCGGGCCGCTTAGTTTGCGTTTCATGCCTCATGGACGATGCATTGCGCTTTAAAACCTACAATGGTCTGTTGTCTGTGTCAAACTGCTGCAAGGGGCGTGAGCTTGAAATTCGACTAGAGCAGAGTGCGCCAGGTCACAAGGTATCGCGCACGATACGTGGGAACAGCGAACGGTTCCAGTAATGCGACGGTCTCTTGTTCAGAACCTTTCAACGAAGGCCGCGAGCCCTGTATTCCGGGTGCAGTACGACGCGACGCATACTGGGGCCCAAATCATTCCTAAATTATCGAGTAATCTTTATCGCGTCTTTTCTGTTGTGAGAAAATCTAGATAAGCACCCGAGGTGACTACACAATCTAGATCGCGAGCTATGCAGCGAAAGACGGTGAAAATTTTGGCAGCCAAATTTGCGGTCGCACGTTCATTCCCAACAAAGTGACAGGCCGAGCAGTGAGGCATTTGTCTGACCTGGCGTTGGACACGTGTGGCGTCGAAAACAGATGGAATCTGCAGGAAAAGGCGTGGCATACACTGTCGCAGTGCTTGGTTGCGGACATTGGCCTATTTTCACGAATGAAGACGGTGCTAGGAAAGCCAAGTGAGGATAAACGGCTTGCCGATCCTTGCCCCGCTTCCTTTGTGCACGCGGCTGCGCCACAGCTGGATATTGGTCTCTCCCCTCAGACGTCATGCGCACATGCAATGAATATCGACTTGACCTGATCCGTGATGCATCCTGATTTTCCTTCAGCTGGCGCACAAGCTTCTGCAGCGCGACACCCTCATCCGCTCTGCCATCGGTACCTTGTGAGCTGGACATCGAAACCTACCCCGCCAACATGACGACGAAAAGTACGACCGACTTCGTCGAATCAACTGACCCAGCCGGAGGGAAGTCCAAGGCCCAGATCCTCACCGACGTCTTCTCTCTCGCGACCCAATTCAGCACCTGTGTTGAGGCTTTCAACCTCATCCATCCCTCAAAAGATCAGGACCATGCGCAAAAGGTTGTGCTTGCGAAACTCGGCCTACAGCAGGGCAGGTTGCTGATCTTTGGTGATGCCGTGGGTATAACTGCGCCACCTGCGACAATTGCACGACACATGATACCCAGCCATCCTGGCATCACAAATCCAGATCCACATGTGCCTGTACACTTTGGCGTCAGAGATCCGAGGCTTGACGAGGAGGTCATCAATGCGAAAGTCCGCAGGGCGCTCCATGAGATTGCGGGACGCCCAAGTAGCATGTCGCGAGACGAACTGATGAATGTTTACGGCTTGAAGAGTCCAAAGACTTTCTCGCGCCTCGAATATCCAGCACTAGACACGAACCGATTAGAAGGCTTCCGCGAGAAGTACACCCTGCTGAAGGATCTCCTGAATCAGACAGGTGCGCGAGCCAGTCTAAAGCGCAACCTCAGCATGACGACCTCCCATTGGACCGTCAAGGACACTACACGCTTCAGCGAGTACGTCAAAGTTGTACGCACCGAAGTCGATGCGCTTATCGATCTGATGGGCGTGAAAGAGCAGGTTGACCGTGGAATTCGTTCCGATCTCAAGAGCATGGGGTGGCACCCAGACCTGACAGGTCCAGCAGTACGACAGGATTGGGAGAAACTGCGTTTGATTCGCGAAGCCTGTGTAGTCGATTATCCAGAGTACATTGAAGTCATCGACAAAGCCATGCAGTACATCAGCGAAGAAGTCAAAGAATCAAATCTTGCTCGAAATCGCGCTGTGTTAGGCCTCTCAGAACCTAACATGGACGCAGCAGGTGCGCGCCGGAAGTCAGACTACGACATCCGCTCAGCGCCTGCGCCTGCGCCTGTGCCTACAATCACCGCCGGATCCAAACCTTCCAAACCGGAAGCAAAATCTCATATCCAACTTGCCGCTGAACGCGCCCTAAATCCACATGCAGGCAAAGAAAAGCGCCCAGGCTGGCTCTCGGCCTTCAAATTCAAGTCCTGGTCCAAGAGCAGCAAAACTGCACATGAGAAGCAGCGCTCAAACAGTGTTCCACACACACCAACTGTAGACCCCCAACGCTCCCTCTCCGCAGGTGAAGGATCAAACCAAACTTCAGAAGATTTCAACACTCTCCAGGCCGTGCGCTCCAAGTCGCTCAGCGCAATACCCAGCGATAGCACGCCACAGCCCCCACCATCAAATCTCGACTCTCGCGTCCGCAAGCTCAGCCTTGACCACGAAGACATGGCGAATATTCCTCCCATCCAAGAAAACGGTGGTGAAGTAACTAGTTTCCCTGAAAGAAACGGACTGCCCGATTCCGATGCCGATATGGATAAGAACACACTAGTGCAGGTTGATACAGCGAAGAGCGAGGGAAGCAAAGATGGGTTGGAGAATATCAAGACGGCAAATAGTTATATCGATCGGCATGATATGTATCCTGCTGTGGGGCGAATTGAGACAAAGGACATCAGAAACTTTGCGCATGCGCCGGGATTATAAGGCTGTTTAGTGGGGGTGTTTAGGTTGTCTAGCGACTTCAAAGGATAGGTGTGAATTCGAATAGCATAGGTACGCCCACAGGGGAGGGTATTAATATAGTTTTGTGGTAATTTTGTAGCCTTTTCAAGGTCAATCTGTATATACTCATTGCGTTTTCAAAGCATGGAGCTTGAGGTATTTGGTTAGTTTTGTGGTTACCACAGTTTTACCATAGGTTGCTTAATATGTCAAAGCTCACTAAGTATCTTCAGAATGTCCAAGGAATCCTAAGGTCAGGAGCCATTTTTCATACCTGTTCTACCAAATATGTCCCCTCCATATCCGCATGTGCGATCCGGGACTTGATGTGCACAAAGTTCATTTCGCTGCATTTGGCTGACCATCCTTAAGGACGACGTGATCCCATTGGAAATCCGGAAGCATTCTCGAAGATGCTACGATTTAGTGAACACTCTAATCTCTACGCACTTCTATTTGTGCTTTTCGCCATTGTTCAATTTTCTTATACTCACGGTGAAGGTGACTTCGTGCCTACATCCTCACCTTCACCTCAAGGTTGGGCCCACCTTGCGATATCCTCTAGCCCGCGTCGTCTTTACCGTCCTCTCACACCACCGTCAACTCATTTACCAAAACTCAAGGTAACGGCTTTCAAGAATTGTTTCAACGCGATCACTCTAGCCCAGTTTAGATTACTGGGTTTCGGTACGCACCCGCGCAGTTGCAGTTGTTTGCCTCCTACGCCCAGTCGGGTCGCAACAGCAACAACAACAGCACCAAGCCACACCAACGAACGAAGTTTTCCCAGCCAGAGCTACGCTTAGATACCACAGGCGATTACGACTATGCCGCCCAAAGGACTCTACCGAATCCCAAAACATCATGTTGTTGGCCAAGGCACCTCAATGAAGCGTCAATCTTTCAACAGCATGGACTACAAAGAGGCGGAGAAGCCGGCGCCCGTTACAACCAACGACGGCACGACAGACGATTTTATCAACAATGAAAGGGCTCAGCGAAAGCGCGAGAAGCGTGAGAGGAAAGAAGCCAGGAAACTGAAGAAGGAAGCCAAGGCTGCTATGGCTGCTGCGGAGACAGGAAAGCTGAAAGAGAAGCAGAACACCCCGCCAGTCGACGCGATACCCGCCTCCACGCCCGTCAAGAATGGCAGGTACGGTCCACGTGGTCCTTATAAGAAGAGAGAGAAAGGCCCGGACGGAACTCCAGTTTCTGCTGCAAAGAAGCGGAAGAGAGAGACCGAGGTGCCTGTTGACAGTCCAGCTGTCACTGACAAAGGTCTTGCTGACGCTGACAATTGGCTCGGCCCCAACTTCAAGAAGAACATGGAAGACAATAAGAAGTCCCTTGCTCGCCTCGCCTCTATGTTTGACCAGCGGATTAATGAGACCGCTAAACCTGCTGAGTTGCCCAGAAATAAGCCAGGAAGACCAGTGGGTTCGGGCAAGAAGACCGTTGCTAAGACTATTGAGACTGAAATACCAAAGACCATCAAGTCTGACGAGATCAAGCCCAAGGCCAAAAGGCAGAAGCTGGAGAAGACACCTGTGACTTCCAAGGAGGAAAATGTGTCCAAGGTCAGCAAGGCACCGATATCAGTTCCATCGGTCGCATCAGCCTTGCCTACCGAGCCGAAGAGCACACCAGTTCCACTTCCTCAGAAGTATCTTGGTGCTTTGACGCGCAGTGTGAGCGAGTCGCCGACTAAGAAGACCAAGGTAGACCTTCGAGAGTCTGAAGTCCTTGTCGGCGAGACCCCTCTCTCACACATGAGCCGTACACCTGCAACCACTCCTCGCGTACAAGCAATCCCGTTTAGTCTTAGACCCGCAGTTACCACGTCCAGGGAAACCAGCAAAGCTCCTGGCACCCTTGAGTCTTCTCCCGAAATTCCCCTCATGATTGACACCAAGTCCCCAGAGGCCCGAAAGCGCATTGTTGGCAGTCAAAGTTCTGTGAACCCGCTTACAGATAGTCAAGTTGACAGTCTTACTACTGCGAACCTCATGCGGTTCAAAGAACCCCTCAGAGACACTCCGAAGCCGCGTCCTCGAGGCCGTCGTTCCGTTAGCGAGGCACCTAGTACTTCTTCTAGCAGCTCCTCTACCACATCAAGGACCATTCGCGACATGTTAATGCGTCCAAATACACCATACACACGTCCAAGTAACGAGATCTCTCCCTTCAACAACAAGAAGAAGCACATTGAAAGGCATGACGAAGCCAATCTTGCCACTTTCTCTAGCACATTCACGGCTTCCCGCCGAACCGTCAATTTTACCGATGAGGCAGCATACCTTGACGAGTACGACGAATGGCTCTCCGACAGCGAAGCAGCAGGCACCCTCCCTTACTTGAAACAAGCCTCAGGGTGCACGGCCAAATCCGAGCAAATGCTCCAGCTCCAACGTTCGGATGACACCTCAGCATTCAAAATGATCATCACAAATGAAACCGAAACCGAGAATGCGGCGTCCGACATTGCGCGCGTTAAAGCCGCGTCCACCTTCCTGCGCTACAGCATCCTGACACGCATCCCCATACCGCTGGGCTCCATCGAAGGAACGTTTAAACTCTACTGCCCCAAGTACACCACTACCCATATCGACAAGTACGGGTTCGGTCAACGCACTTTGAACATCACCTCCATCGCCGGTCTCAATCCCATGTCGGGAGCCTATACAGCGCGTCTCTCTATTCCACCTCGCTCCATGCCGTACCCGATCCAAGCGTTCGAAGCCCCACCCCACGCTTCGTTCCGCACCATCACACTCAAGACAGTTGCTGAGCGATATAGAATGGACGTCATGTTCTTGGGTAACGGTTACTTGAAGCTGAGAGTTGATTTGCATCTGATTCTCAATGGCAAGTCGGCTGGAGAGATGAAGGCGGGAAAGGGAAAGGGCAAGGAGGGGAAGACAAAGGCCGGAGTGGGCATCTGGGAGTTTCTGGGAGTGAATGAGAAGGCGGTTGTCTGGGAACCGATGGTTGATGAGTTGGAAAAGGAGGGAAGGAAGTTGGTTGCCAAGTATGAAGGTCGTTAATGTGGAAGTATGGAGTCGTGAAGTGGCTAGCGTGAGTTCATGGTTGGTCGGTGTAGGATGTGAGAAAGACTATCTGAAATGTGGGCTATTGATGGGCAGAGGTAGAGTCGGCGAGATGTTTGCATTGGTGGAACCTCGGGTATGGCTTGGGCTTGCCTGACGGAATCTACTTAAATTTGACTGGAGCTTCGCAGATTTTGCCTAGGCTTATCACGTTGCCATCGCATCCATATGGATACTAAGTGACGCCTCGGTGCCCTCGTATACTAGTTTCCCTTGTTAGTTTACGACTGGATACAGTAAATAGGCGAGATGATTTGCCATGGAGATTGAAGAGCCGCAGTCGTGTTTCGATAACGGGCGGAACATCGCCAATTTACCCCGGCTCTTGCACCTACAACACTATCGAAACACATGTAATACCCACATATACTCGTTCGGCTGTGGCATGACTGTTGCTCTATTCATGTCGTTTACATCTACATCTACCACTAGTCTTTGAACAAAGCAAAAAACTCCTGATCTGATGCAAAAGGTATCAAAACACTCCTCTCCACGCTGCTTCTTTGACTCCTTGCTGTCCTATCTCTTGTTTCCAAATGCAAAGTAATCATGATATGCGTTCTTCGACTAGATCGGATCGGAGATGTAGGCGTCCGCCAGTGCGTTTCAATGAGCGAGAGGAAGAGGAAGAGGAAGAGAACATCTAGTCCTTCTTCGCCCTGCCGTTCTGCTGTTCAGCAAGCTCCAACTTCTCGTTACCCTTTTGGATGAAGAATTTGCGTTCGAGGAATTTGAGGCCCTCGTCGATGATGCTGAAAACATGTTAGCGATTGCCCATTCTGTAGCCTTTGGCACAAGGCGTGAGATGTGACTTACATGATTGGCGCGCTGATCGCCATAACCGCTTTCCACTCGTTGCCGTCCAGTGGAATGACGCTGAACAGCCCTTGCAAGAATGGGACGTAGAGAAGTGCAAAGTGCAAAGCCATGCTCAAACAAATGGCATAAACAAGGATCATGTTCTCCCAAAGCGGTAATGTAAGCAGACTCTCTGAGCTGCTCAACGCGTTCATGGCATTGAGCATCTCGATGACGACCAGAATGCTCAGACTAACAGTAGACGCAGCTTGGGCAGACGAGTTGCTGAACATCTCGCAACCAATCTCAGGGAACTGAGTCGAGCAGCGGTGGAAGTGGCGGAGCTGGTAGAAGGAGATCTGGGGCCCATCGCTATTGAACATGAACCACCACGCGTAGCCACCAACAGTCGCAGCGCCGACGTAGGTACCAATAACCATGTAGCGGAAGAACAACCAGCCACTGATGAGAGGCTCGTCGCGCTTGCGGGGTTGGCGCTTCATTACATCATGGTCTGGAGGGTTGAAAGAGAGAGCGGTAGCGGGGAGACCATCGGTGACGAGATTGACCCAGAGGAGTTGAACAGGGATCAGAGCCTCAGGCATACCCATAGCGGCAGTCAGGAAGATAGAGACGACTTCTCCAATGTTGGAAGAGATGAGATAGCGGATGAACTGTTGAGTGTTGTTGTAGATGGAACGACCTTCTTCAACGGCACCTTCGATGGTAGCAAAGTTGTCGTCTACAAGCACCATGTCGGCGGCGAGCTTGGCTACATCGGTTCCGGAACCCATAGCAACACCAATATCGGCTTTCTTGAGAGCAGGCGCATCATTGACACCGTCACCAGTCATAGCGACAACCTCACCGGCTTGTTGGAGAAGGTCGACGAGTTTGGATTTGTGTGTTGGCTCAGTGCGGGAGAAGAGGCTGGCGTGCTTGGCAGCTTCCATCTTCTCGGACTCGGAAAGGTCGTCGAATTGGCGACCTGTGAAAGACTTGCCAGTGAGATCTTCGTTAGGGCCAAAGACACCGATTTGACGGCAGATGGACTCGGCAGTGTTCTGATTGTCTCCAGTGATGACTACAACACGGATACCAGCGGAGCGGCACTTAGCGATTGAGTCGCGGACTTCAGGGCGGGGAGGGTCCAACATGCCGACGAGACCGATGAGAGTCATCTTCTGCTCCAGCTGGGTGTATTCCTTGGTAGTCTTAGCCTTTGCCAGAAGTGGGTTCGATTCAATGTCTTCAACAGACGCCACAGCAATAACACGAAGACCACGGTTGCCGTACTCGACAATTTCCTTGTTGATAAGGGTAGAAAGTTGCTTGCTCATGGGCATCTTCTTTCCGTTCTTGCCGACAATGACATTGGTGCAACGATCAAGAATCGATTCCGGGGCGCCCTTGACAAGTAGTTTCTGCGAGTTACCATTCTTGACTAGAACAGACATGCTCTTACGGTCGCGAGAGAACTCATAAGTGGCTAGGCGGGGGTAGTGGCTCTCGTAGTGCTTGGTAGAGAAATCGAGAAGTCCTTCGGGCGAGGTGCTGGCGCGGGTCGCGTTGTGGGCAATATCTGGAGTGCCAACCTTCTCAACTAAGACGCGGAGAGCGCCCTCGGTAGGCTCACCGACGAGGTTGTAAGTACCGTTCTTGGAATCGTAGGCAAGGGCTGCGTCGTTGCAAAGCGCGGTAACTTCACAGATCTGGCGAACGGTGTCGGATTGAGCAGCAAGGTTCTCAAGGGGTTTGCCACGGAGGGAGACCTGACCCTCAGGGGCGAAGCTGGTGCCTTCAATATCAAACTCTTCGAGGCCACTACCTTGTTCGTTGAGGAAGACCATCTTGTTGACGCTCATCTGGTTGGTGGTAAGAGTACCTGTCTTGTCGGAGCAAATGACGCTGCAGCTACCAAGTGTCTCGACAGAAGGCAGGCTTCGCACAACGGCGTTTCTTGCAGCCATTTTGCGCGTTCCCAGAGCCAAACAAGTTGTGATGACGACGGCCAGACCTTCGGGAATAGCAGCGACACCGAGAGAAACGGCGATCTTGAGATAGTAGATGGCGCCTTTGGTGAAGCTGCCGTGCGAAGGGTCGTTGAAGTTGCCAATGTTGATGAGCCAGACGAGGATGCAGATAGCCGTGATGACCTTTGCGAGCTGGTCGCCGAAGTCGTTGAGCTTCTCCTTGAGGGGGGTGGGCTGTGAGATCTGTGCCGTGATGCTCTCGTGGATGTCTCCAATCGCCGTGTTACCACCGGTCAGGACTACCAGCGCAGTCGCATGCCCCGTAACGACCGTAGTACCCGAGAAGAGCATATTGACCTGATCCTGCTTGACAGCGTTCTCATCCTTGACAGCCCTGGTATCCTTGGATACACTCTCGCTCTCTCCAGTCAAGATGGACTGGTCGATGTTGAAGCTGTTGCTCGAAATGGACAGGATCCTGCAATCAGCGGGTATCCTGTCACCGATTGTGACCGAGATGACATCTCCGGGGACCAGCTCGTCGGCCTTTACGCGTTTGACATGTCCGTCACGTACGACTTTCGCTTCGTTGGCCGAGTATTCTTGGAGGGCTGCAATGGCCTTTTCGGCGCTAGTTTCTTGCGATACTCCGACGACGGCGTTTAGAATGAGGATGGTGAGGATCTGTAGGCATGCAAGTCAGCGCAGGTACATGTGACGTCGTCGTCTGGTACGTACAACTGCCGGGTCCACGAATGCGGTCCAGCCTTCTTCTTCTTCGAAGAGGGCCAGTACAAACGACACTGCTGCCGAGCCTAGCAAGATGATGACAAGCTGGTCTTTGAACTGCTCGAGGATGAGCTCCCAGATGGGTGTTGGTGGGTCTTCTGGCAGCGCTGTTCTCTGTGTCAGCAGTCTTCGTCGCGGTCTAGGGGAAAAGTAGCACACCATTCTTTCCATGTTTCTCCCTCGCGCTTTGCACCTGCTGTGCGCTGAGACCTTTCTGCTCCTCAACCTGGAAATACTTCAGCGCCTCAGCGGGCGTCTTGGTGTATGCATTCTCCATGCCCACTGCTCTGATCACCGGGTTCTCTTCGCTCAATACACCACTTGTTCAACGAGACGCTGTCTGTTGGCTCAATCGTGGTGTGGTAGTGTTGTTGGCAGGGATATGTCGGTTCTAGAAATGTCGAGGCTCGCAAGTCGCAGGTATCTTCGCCTATGACGTTGAGAGGAACGTTGACAACCTTCGCGTGATTACTTCAAGCACAAAGGGAGGGACTGTATTTTCCTGGCGCAAGTAAAGTCGCAGGAGAAGACAATAGAAGATTCTACGATTGTCCACGGCAGAAACGGCTGTACTGGCGGCGCAACAGCACTTGTCTCGACTTCGGCGCGTCCCAAGAAATCTGTCCTCTAATCGACCCGCAAGCGCAAGGGGCTAGTGCTGTGGCGCATGCTCACCAGCCACTTTTCGCCGATAACCACGTTTCGCCCAAGTGGCTTCCAATTCGTCCATGTCTTCGAGTTTCCCTTTGATCCGTGTCATTTCACTTGTAGTCAATTGTGGCTGGTGAAAATCTGGGGTTTGCGCCGTTCGCAGCGAGTCTGAAATGCATGGGGTGCGGGCAGATTCCGACAAGAACGTGCTGTGCTCGGCCTGTTCGGCGGCCATGCCCCACGATTCAAGGCCCCCACCTTCGACATCACCACTGCACCTCACCTGGGCAAGACTGCCGTGCCTGCGGGTCTAGCTCGGCAATCCGGGTCTGAGCAGAGCCTCACCAAGCAACGCGTCGTCATCACTGCAGAGTCACTTGTGGGTCGGGGAATGATTGAGTAAAATGTTTAATGTTTTGTTGTATTCGAGTAGCCCGCATATGCTACTGCAACCCATAACCAAGGTCATCCCAACATGCAAAATTCATCAAAGGGTATTATAGCCCACCATAGGTATCCCGCTCGTTGAACGCCGCTAAACAAAGGCCCTCCAAAGGGCTGGTCAAATGCTATCGTGATCGTCGTGTACCCAGTCCGATCCAATCATGCCCGCTTTCTAACATGATTACCTGTATGGTGTACAACTATAATGTGTATAACATGAATAGAACCAGGCAGCCAGAGCGCCGTGGGAGAAGTAAAAGTGGCAAGCTTATTGGCTTGCGCAGTATGTCCGAATCAATCGGGCAATGTCTCGTGTGATGAAGGGCTTGGTGACAAAGCCTTTCATGCCACTCTTGACCGCTTTGTCAAGAGCGGCGTCTGTAATGTCCGCGCTCACGGCCAGAATGGTCGGCTTCCGCTCAAGCTCTGGCATCTTCAGAATCACCTCAGTGGCTTGGAAGCCATCCAACAACGGCATCCAAAGGTCCATGAGGACAACGTCAAACGACTCAGTCGCTGGGCCGAGAGCATTGCGACGAACAGTCTCAACGGCGTCGTTACCGTTGAATGCCGTAGTGATGTTCTTGTAGCCCAGTCTACCCAGCATGCTTACCAGCACACGTCGGTTGATGGCGTTGTCGTCTACGACTAGAATGTTCAGGGGCAGTTGAACGCCGAGATCAGATGGCACAACGTCCCTCTCTGAAGATAGAGCACGAGTGGCGTGTTGTTGTCGAGGAGGAGACAAGGTGCGGCGGGGGGTAGCAAGGCCGATATCTTCTGGCGATGTTGCAGAGCGGACAGTGATGACAGGTGTAATTGGCGGCTGACGTTCGCGATCACTCCTGAATGATTCGGAACTCAAGGGAGGAGTGACGGGGCCACGGCCGAGGTCCAGGTGGGGTACCTCCGGATCGATAGACATGCGGGATTTGATGGAAAGTGTAGGGGATCCAAAAGGCGTTGCAGGGCGACTGCAAATCTCGCCTGGGGTAAGCGGGACTCTCATTTCGAATTCCGACCCTCTCCCTGGCCCAGAAACATGCGAACGGAGACAGAAGAGATCACCACCTAGTTTCCTTGCAATCCCCTTGGCGACCATTAGACCAAGACCCAGTCCCTCACTCTGTCGTGTCATCGAATCGTCTTCTCTCGAGAATGGTTTGAACAGGTTAGGTAGGAAAGCTGCTGGGATGCCAGAGCCAGTATCTTTGATGTTGATGACAATGTAACGGCCTTTTGCGCTGAGTGTCGCTTGAAGTGTGATGGATCCATCCTGTGTGAACTTGATAGCATTAAGAGCGAGGCAGGAGACCATCTTGGCGAGATCCCGTTCATCGATGACAATCGTCTCTGGGACATCGGCAGAGACGGTCCACTCGATCCATTTAGTATGTGCCTCTCCGTTTGAGCTACGTGTTCGCACCTCGATGCGCTCTCCTGTGTCGGTAGCCTCAGCAATAGCAGAATCCGGCCTTCCTCCTACCTTGAGCGCATCGTTAATGACGTATTGAAGCACTTCTCTTAGGTTGGTATGTCGGAGACCGGGAACTTTGGAATGTTCGGATGCGAAGATGGGCGAGGTGGTTGAATCGCATTTGCCTAACGAGGTTCCATGCGAGCAGGTGTGGTCCAGTCGGTCTAGTTCCAGAGCGCTTGCGTCCGGGGGGCACGACTTAGTGCCGCGCTTGGGGGGCTCCTCTGAAAAGATGTCTCGAACTCGTTGGCGAGCATTCTTGGCAACGCGTGTCTTGTTGGCATGGTCTGCCCAAGAAACCTCGTGTCTCCTCCTCTTGATGCCGCGTAATGGAGCACGCATGTCGTTACCAGTGATCATCAAATCGGGTCGCATCTCACGCCAGAAAGTGTTCCACTGGTCTGGAGTCTTGTCGAGTGGCGAAAGTGGGGTCTCTGGAACACCCATGTTCATGTCGTAGGCATGGACAACATTATCGGCTGCCTCGACTGCACGTCTTGAGCTGTCTAGAGTAGCATCAGTATGGAGCCATCACTGCAGGTTCTTCAACGAGTTGTTACACACCTTGGACAGCTTCAATATTCTCCCTGAGTGTGTCGAGTATCTCACGGGTCCGTGATTCGAGCTGCAATGATTCTGATGCTTCTTTTACGTTTGCCATCATAACATCCAGCATACCAACAACGCCCTGCATTGGCGTCCTTAATTCATGGGATAAGCTCCGGGCATAGGGCTTCAATGATTGAGCCGCCGAGACGGCTCTGTGCGGTACGATCCTGGGTATCTCGGCTTGAATTGATTCTGCTGACTTTGCAAACTCGTTGCCTTCCAATACGCGTTCTAGAATCATGTCTTCCAGGCTATGGAACAGCATTTCGAGGAACCCCCAGCTCAACACACGACGAGCTGCGCCCTCTTTTCCCCACATGACACCGAAATGAGCGAAGCACTTTCCCTCGGCAAACAAAGGGATTCCAAGGTAAGCCTCTCCGGGGATGATCAGGTCATTTGGGTTGTCGAGGATGAAATCGTTTAATCTTTCGGGAATCACGAAGACCTTGTCGTGCTTCATGTAGGCACACGGACATTGGTAGGCATGGTATTTGAAGTTTCTCAGATGGCCGGGTCCGTTGCCATGGTCGTCGTTGATGTAAAAGGCCTCGCCCATGAGGCATGCTCCAGGCTCTCCAATGGGGGGCAGTTCGACAGCAACATTCTTATCATCAACCAGGATTCTCTTGGACACAAAAGCGTACTGAGCATCGGCAATTTTGGCGAGGCCCTGGGTGAGTTGAATCCAGAAGCTGTCGGTGTCGGCTTTGCGGAGAGAGTCCTTTAGTTTGACGAGTTGCTCGGCGGCGTTGCTCTCTGCGGGGACATATAGCTGTGACAGTTCTTCTCTGAAGCCGTTCTCTCCTTGTTGCACGACCATGCCTGGCTCTGGACGAGAGAAGCAGAGCGACTGGCGCTCGATTATATCAGGTGGGATGGTAGTAAGTCCCTCCATCTTTCAGAATCCCATGCGGGCAATCGGCACGGGCGTCCAGGATGGGCACAGGGGTGTTGGTCAGACGAAGTGCGAAGTTGGACAACGATATGCAGAGGGCTACGAAGGAAGTCGGAAATGCATGCGGAAGCGGATTAGTAACGGTGTGTGGGAGGGCGAGGAATGCGTGATGTGCGGGACAGAGAGAAGGAAGGCGAGAAATGGCAGGCACGGCGGGCAGTCAGCGATATGGTTGGTCTTTTGCTAGAGTCGCACATAAGAGGGCTGGTGGACGATCTAGAACCTGACCCGGAGCCATGGCTTTGCGCGTCCTTGCACCCTCCAGGCCCGCCCCCGTTGGGTGGTAGTGACAGTCGGCTGCGCTGCTGTTTGCCTGCACGCGGTCAAAACCACCGTGAGCCCCAGGTCGTGTCTACGTTTCGAGTTGAGGCTCGTCGTGCTGCCCGTCCGCCTGCCATGCTGCTCTCCTCCCACGGTCGTCGTGATGGATGGCGGCACACTGATGCTGAGCGTCGAGGAACCCTGAGTGGCTTCGGTCAGCACACACAGTGGGTCGCGCCTGCTGGAACAGTCTAGACGCACTCGGCTCCCGGTCGCTCCTGCACGATTTCCAGCGCTACCCCAGTAGCCCCTTCCGCTTCGGCCCCTATGCAAACCTCGCCCGCACACAGTCTGCAGTCACCGCCGACCTTGACGCCTGGCCCTACGCCATGACGATTACTGTCCGCCCGCCCAGCGCTCCAATCCGGATGATGCGAACATGCCAATTACGCTTTTCGCCCTCGTCTTGCTTTTTTGCCCATCCAGAGCATATGCTTTATTGTGGCGGCCAAAAGCTACCGCCGACTGCCCAACAACTGCTGACACTGCTAACACTGCTAACACTGCTAACACTGCTAACACTGCTAACCACTGCTAAGTGCCTAACATGTACACAGCATCCGCGCCTCGACACAGCCGCACTCGCAGCTCGCGGCCCTTCCTTCTGCTTGACGTCAGCGGCTCCAGCTCCGCCCACGCATCTTACCGCGCCCGTTTGCTGCGTCCATGTAGCTTCCCCATGAAGCCGCACTGCCGTCGCACATTGCTGGTAGAGGGTCAACGATACACCGGGCTTAGCGCCTCGTCTTACACGACACCAGATCGACGATCGGCCGAAACAGAACCTAGCGCTCTTTGTTCTGCTGTCTGCTCGTGCTTCCGTCTTCCATCGTTGCCCTCGCGCTGCAAGCTTCGACACCCTCTCGACCAGTCGCCTGTCCTGAGAGTGCCCTCTTTTTGGACACCGTTGACGCAGCTTCCGCTTCACTCTGCGACGCCGTCCCTCTGCAGCCCGCCTGCGCATTCGGCCCTCGAGCAAACATTAACGTGTCATCTTTACAAACCCAGGCCTCAGGCTGCATGCTCGGTCTTTTGCTACTCTTATTCCCCGCGCTAGCCATAATCCAGCCTGGTCTGACGAATCATCCGCCGTCCCTCCGCTGTCCCGTATTCAAATTCACACGCGTAGTCTGCTGGCTTAACTTCCGCCAACGTCCAAAGGCCCTCAAGAGGTCTGAGTCCAGAGTAACGTTACATGGTGTCTTCTTACAGCAACAACGTCGTCGACTTTTCCCGCCCCGTGGGTGTGCTCCTGTTTGGGAACCCGTCGCACCAAGCATTGGCCAACTAATCAGAACATGATCGACAAGGCATCGTGAACGGCGTGCTCCCATGCGAGTAATGATGTGCACCGTGTGCCGATCGACCTCTCTAGCTGTCTCGCTGCAGGGGCGCTGGCCATGTCAGCTTGATGCACCTCTTCTTCCTTTTGTTTTCCGTTTTGTCTTGACCGACATCACCTGTGCGTGCCTATGAATACTTGCCGCTACCAAGCTGACATCGGAGGAGACCTGTCGACATGTTCGACGCCTGGCGTGCGGCTGCCCAATTTTCCGGCGCTAGCTGCACCGGACCACTGCAGAAGGAGCAGCCACAAAACATGAAAGCTGCCAGTACCCGCTCAATCACGTTGCTAGGACCTTTCCAGCACATGTCGGCGTCTTGGTTCTCACCGCAACTGCTTTGAGAGTGGAGAGGTACTCTTCGAGCTCACGGCCGGGCAGCCGTAGCTTCAAGATCGTGAGGCGAACATCGTCGAATTTTTACAGTCACTCCTCGAGATCTTGCATACATCCACGACCCACTCATTGGGTCAAAGCAACGCGCTTGCCAATCACGCCTCTGCCAACGCGCATTGACACCGAATGAGCGACACTATGATATCTTGGTTTGTCATATCTCGCGAGTTCAAAAGCACATGAACCATGGTACGCATCTGACATGCCGCGCTAGAAGCTCTACCCGCGGAGCCGTCTAGATGTCTAGACCATCGCCCCAAGGTTTTCCACTACACGCCTTTACTGCAAGCCTGATATCACTACCAGGCTCTCCATGTTGAGCAACTACGCAAGAGGCTTCACAATACATACATAGTACAATGGAGATCCGCTCTGCGATCATGACGACATGGACACCCATGTTCGATGTTAATTCATCAGGCCCATTGCTCCAAACTCTTGGCAACGGTCTGGACCTACCCATATCGGGCGCCTGTTCTGTCTCGTCGATACCAAGGGCTTCACGACGGTGCTCTACATGATACGCTTGTATCGGCAGCTGACATCAGTTGATTGAAAACGCGCAGTCCAGGCGGTATTGGAGTCTTCAAGCCCACAAATAATGAATCGTTTTTGCAGTCAACGACACCGCATGAGCCGCGACATCCTAAACGGGTGCGGTCCGCTCCAGAGCAAGATGTCCCCTGCCACTCCGCCCAAGACACAAAGCAGACACGGTAAGCTCAGGGTCACAGTGCACTTTATTCGGCCGACCAAAGCTAAACGGCACTGATGACACGCCTAGACTTTGACAGACTTTGGGTAGCTCCTGCACACTCCTTGCGCCTCTCACTGTTGCACCGCGTCATGAACTTCGAATGTGGCTGTCGTGAAGCCACGGAGAGTCCAGAACATCTCTATCCCACTATACACCATCGTGTCTACTTGGTCTATCGATGGCTTGCACAGTCCGGGCCGCGAACGTGCCGAGTTCCGGACCGTCTCAAGGTTAGGGCACGACGTCTTTTGCGGCACGAATCACTACTACTATAAGCACCGAGATTTGACCGAATACCTGTTCGGCTGCTTCGTGAGAGTGTTCCTTACACCATGCACAGAGCATCGAGAAGTCGGCGTGTCGCAAAGTTAAACATCGATAGACTCGATGAATTTGCCTCTGCCTACTCCGGGTGTCGAAGTACATACTAAAGCATATTGTACAGAATCGGTGGATGTCGGGACAAGGTCGGTCCCATCAAAAAGTAGACATTCACATTCAATCACATTGTCTGTAGGACAGATCATCTCAAATCATTCGTAGACGATCCTGTGTAACAACACCGAAGTCGTTGCACTCACTCAACAAACTGGAAATGCAATGCTACAAAATGTCTTTGACGGTAGCTTCTAATCACCCATTATAGAGCATTGCAAAGCTTGATAGGACTGTATCCTTTTGATACGTGGAACAAGGTAACACAAATAATTCGTTCCAGCGTACGTATACGTCGACACCTCGCTCAAGATGTGATATCATTTGATCACAACCTCAGCATCGGTACGAATACGTATGACAAACACAACAGTTATCACGTTCTACCAAGTCAAACAAGTGAACAGGTAAGTACATCTCAAATACATTCAACGCTTCCATCGCCCTACTTGATATGCGATTCAAACTCTCCATGCTCTCCAACTTTCCCCCAAAAAATATTATGCATCCACCACTCGCTGCCCCGCAACTCTCCTTCACCACCTTCATCGTCTTCCTCTAAATACCCACCGCCATCGCCTCTGCCATTGCAAAGTCCGCTTGTACTATTTCAGCACTATCAACAACAACAGCAACAACGACCATGGCCACCAACACCACCATCGAAACATCCTCCTGGGTTATGTTCCCCTCCCCTAGAACAGCTAGCACCACAATTGCCGCCTTCCCCGCTACCACCACAACAGCGCTCTGGCAAATTGACCCCATGTGCCTCCCTGGTGTAGCCCAATGCCACCATTTCGGCGACCGTTTCCGATACTGCAATGCAACAGGTTACTGGGTCCCAAACTACTGTGGTGGGGATTGGATCTGCTGTGCATATAATAGCCGGAATGGTATTGGGCCCATGTGTGAGGACAGGGCAGAATGTGAAGTTGTTGGGCGACCGGGGATGATGGGGCTAGAAAGGTGGGAGTAGCTGAGGGCATGAGCGGTAGAAGTAACATGAAAAAACTGGGTAAGGTCTTAGACTCTTTGCAATGGCTCTGTGAGGGGTGAACTTGGTCTAGATTGTCATTGAAGAAGAGACCAGGCAGCAGTAATGCAAGGACATGTTTCTACCATACCATTCTATTTGGAGATGGTCGTCCAGATGAGCACATTTATCATCCAAGTTGTCAACTGCACATGTAGTAATATGCCTCCAGACCTCTACCGATGCTGCAAGCCACGACATATCCTCATATGCTATGGAATCTACTACTAGGAGCTCAGAACTACAGACCGGCACAGAAGATCTATGTTTACTGCCCCAGAAGGCTTTTTCGTGTTGATGTTTAGGAAGTGTGCAGACATTGGCATTTGTATCCCACCGGGCTTGCCGAGAGTAGTTTGGATTGGTTCGACATGTGAGGCTGCGTCTATACCAGCTCTGGCAGCTTGAAGCAAAGAGGCTAATGTGTTGGAGAATTGCGACGACTATAGCAGTTGACCTGATCTGCTGGCATCTGAGTTTCTCGACAGTCCAACTCTGGAAGCGCAGTTACCTCATGCGAAAATGCTCCAGGGATTATTGCAACACTGTGTATCTTGAGGCTATGCTCAAGTTAAACTTGATGGCAAGCAGACCAATAGTCGCTTCAGTGTTCGATGCGAAAAAAAATCATGGTGTAGGATTCATCGTTGCATTTTGTATACATATTTCCTTTGCTCTTAACTCATTATTCGTCGCATTTCCTCACAACGCTAACACTACCGGACCCTGCAAAAGAAGCGCTTACAAGTTAACGGCGGTCCTGAAGTTGTTACCGGCGTAGACGGCGTTGTCACCAAGCTCCTCCTCGATACGGAGGATCTGGTTGAGCTTAGCGAGACGCTCAGATCGGGCAGGTGCACCAGTCTTGATCTGGCCGGATCGCAGTCCGACGACAATGTCGGCAATAGTGACATCCTCAGTCTCGCCAGAGCGGTGAGAAACCATGACACCCCAGCCAGCGCCGAAAGCGTCCTTGGCAGCCTGGATGGCCTCAGTGATGGTACCGATCTGGTTGACCTTGAGGAGGAGAGCATTGCAAGACTTGAGCTCAATGGCCTTCTTGATGAACTCGGGGTTGGTGACGGTCAAGTCATCACCAACGATCTGGCCGTCGTAGGTCTTGAAGAAGTAAGACCAGGCCTCCCAGTCGTCCTCAGCGAAGGGGTCCTCGATGCTGACAATGGGGTACTTCTCGGCCAGGGACTTGTACATCTCGGCGAGTTGTTCGTATGTGAGCCACTTGCTCTTGTCGCTGTCGGGGTTCTTGAAGTCAAGATCGTACTTCTTCTCGTCAGCCTTGTAGAATTCGCTCGATGCGACATCCATGGCGATCTTGATCTTGCCAGTGTAGCCGGCCTCCTCAATGGCCTTGGTGATGAGGTCAAGGGCCTCCTCGGCGGTCTGGATGTCAGGGGCAACACCACCCTCGTCACCGACGTTTCCAGCGGACTGTCCGTAGGTCTTCTTGGCAAGGGCCTTGAGCTTCTGGTAGACTTCGGCTCCCTGGCGCATGGCCTCGGAGAAGGTAGGGGCCTCACTGGAGGTCGTCAGTATGGGCTAGAACTGTATTCGGAAGGATGACCTACCAAGGAACGATCATGAACTCTTGGAAAGCAAGACGGCCACCAGCGTGCGAGCCACCGTTGAGGACGTTTTGGACTGCATAGTCAGTAAAATTCCTCAACCTGTCAACTTCAGTTCACCTACAAGGTACAGGGAGAACGTAGGGCTTCTTGGTGCCAGCCAAGTCGGAGATGTGTGCGTAGAGAGGTACACCCTTCTCGGCGGCAGCAGCCTTTGCAATGGCCATTGAGACACCGAGGATGGCGTTGGCGCCCAGATTGGTCTTGTTTGTGGTGCCATCGAGCTTGTTGAGGAACGCGTCTACGGCGGACTGGTCCTTGACGTCGAGCTTCTCCTTGATGAGAGCAGGGGCAATGGTGTCGTTGACGTTGGCGACAGCCTTGGTGACACCCTTACCACCCCACTTGGACTTGTCTCCATCGCGGAGTTCGCAAGCCTCGTGGGAGCCAGTGGAGGCACCGGAGGGGACGATGGCGCGGTGAAGGCCGGTCTCGGTGACAATGTCAACCTCAACAGTCGGGTTACCCTGGAGATGTTAGCAACGAAGCTTGACAAGCACACATGTCTGCAAACGTACCCGAGAGTCGTAGACGGAGCGGGCGTGGATCTTGGTGATGGTCATGGTGAAGGATTGCTGTTGAGAGAGTCAATTGGAGAGTTGGGGAGCCGCAAAGTGCAAGGCGGGAGATATAGAGGGCGACCGGATGCGCGGGCAGCAATGTCCGGCCGCGGATAGGATGCCGAGCAGAAAATTCGACTTACTAGTTGTATGTGTAAGATCAAGTGTCGGTGTTGTTTTGTTTGGGTGGGGTGTTCCAGAGCTTAAGAGTCCAGCAAGGTTTTGGAGGGGTTGCTCAGCAGAATTCAGCCCCGCTATGACGCCGTCGCCTCATTGGTAGCCACCCACGGCCTCTTTGTAAAAGTGTGCATTAACATTATCGCAAAAGCATCGAGTGGGACGACGCGCAAGCTGGTTTGGGGGTCTGTGGGATACAATTGATACATGTCGGTGATACATGCAGTCCTTGGCCCTGTCCGTTGTGAACGGGAGATCGTCGTCCAAGGTAGCTTCTTCTGCGGGATTCAAAACTTCAGAGCGCTCGTTGAGGAAATACCAAGGAATGTCAGACAAGTGCGATACAACGTCTTCGCAGCCAAGCCAGGCGAAACAGTAGCTCTCATAGGCGCCGGTGAAGGATTCGAGTAGATGCAGAACCAGCTCAACACAACGTTGACCTGTTTGGTTTGTTGCATGCAGCTGTAGCCAATGTTGCAGGTTCGCGAGGTACCGTGAGTATCCTGTGAGCATCATCATCACGGCTATTCATCCATCTCTTGTATCATGCAAAGATTGCACATCTGCCTTGGACTTCCAAGAATTACGGCAGGTCGTCGCAACAGAAAAAAAGACTGTTCAGGTCGGTAGAGGGCACAGCAGCATTGTGAAGTACTTTGTACATGTTGGTGCGGGCTAGCAGTAGAGGCGACGCGCATCTCAGGCTGTTCCGGTATGAAACATCGTCGTCAATGACGAATAGTTGATTGAACACGGTTCACAAACGGAATGGGGCCAAAGCTGTAAGGTATTGCACAGGTCTGAGTGGACACAGCTCTTCTTGTTCAAGACTCCAGGCGTGCCTGTTCACATTCAAGTCCAGTTCTGCCAAGCCCGAGCTGGCCCAAGCTTCATGTGTACGGCGGCCGCGACGCTGGGAGCTGCCTTCGCGTGAGGCTTCAACATCACCGTATAACCACACCAATAACGTCCTCGCCACTACGTCAACTCGCTCGTAGGACAAGACTCGTGTCACCTACCTGCTCATACGCCCTCCCACCAGACTCTCCAAGCCCGACGAAAGTCGCCCTCCAACACACTTACCGTCACCACTTCAAGTTCATCACAATGTAAGTCGCCTTGACGTCTCCTGCTCCAGTACTAACCACTGTACAGGGAGGTCCTACTAGGAATCACCGGCAAGGATTTCACCCTCATCGCCGCCTCCAAAGCCGCCATGCGTGGCGCCACCATCCTCAAGGCATCCGACGACAAGACACGAGTACTCAACACACATACCTTGATGGCTTTTTCTGGAGAGGCTGGTGACACTGGTATGACGCAAGAAGAAGCCACGATAACTTGGCGGTAGCTAACAACGATGCAGTCCAATTCGCCGAGTACATCCAGGCAAACGTACAATTATACTCCATGCGCAACAACATGGAGCTTTCCCCTGCCGCAACAGCCAACTTCGTCCGAGGAGAACTGGCGTCAGCGCTACGGTCAAGAAAACCCTACACGGTCAACCTGCTGTTGGGCGGATACGATACCATTGCCGACAAGCCGACACTGTACTGGATCGACTACTTGGCGAGCCAAGCACCGCTGCCATATGCTGCACACGGATACGCACAGTATGATCCTCTCTTGCTGTCTTTGCTGAAGCACTACCTGCTCTTCTGCATGGTCCCAAACCTAAGCATCTTGTGCTAACACCACTTGCAGATACTACTGTCTCTCCCTGCTCGACAAGCACCACCATCCCGATATCGACTACGAACAAGGCATGAAGATCATGCGCATGTGCACCGAGGAGCTCAAGCGACGTCTTCCGATCGATTTCAAGGGCGTGCTGGTTAAGGTCATAACGAAGGATGGCATCAAAGATGTGGATTACGAGGACGATGTAAAGGTTGCGATTCCATAGAAGACTATGGATTGACGAAAGCTAGAGCATGCCGCCGGATGATTTATGCAAAAGACACGGGTGCCATTACGATTATGACACTTGAGCATGATAGATAACGAGAACAAATAGTCAAATGACATTAATGACTAGATCATGTTTCTCGAGGAACTACAGTGGCCGGCGTGCAGATACTTGTTACTTCTTCTTGAGCATGGTTCAATTCTCTTCGCAATTTCGCATTGTCAAGGTCTGAACAGAGGCTCATAACCAACACACAGCCCTATTCAGATTCGAATGCAACCGATAGCGAGACTGCCGTGAGATACTCTCAAGCACTTTGCACAGGGACTAGCCCGAAGCAACATAGCACACTTATACGACAGGCTTGCGCGCCCTTCACTCGAGTCAAAGTGTGCACAAGACAAATGTATGTCCTCCCAATAAATCGACACCGCAGACTCATCGCCATCACTGAAGACGACCCAACGAGAAAGCAGCTTCCTACAGGAGTATCGCTCTCCGACCCCACGCCACCGTAGTGACTGGCAACTAAAAGACAAAGATGTTCTGATAGTCGTGGCTGGGTTCGTTTGTATTTTTTGATCAAAGAGCCAGAAAGGAGGACGAGGGACGCAGAGTTTTTATACCGACGAGTGGGGGCCGCCAAGCCAGTGCACGGGCAGAAGGGTTTTTGGCGTGGCGGGCACGGGCACATTCAAGCAGCGGTAGGACTGAGGGCAATGGCGAGGGGACGGAAGAACGACACCGGCACTCTGATAACGCGGCAACAATACTGCAGACGGCGATAGTGCGCAGCGGCGGACGCACACTGAGCAATTGCGTGGCAGGCTTGTCCTCTCTGCTCGACGCAGTACCGACGCATTCACCGCAAACTTCCACACACAACCAACCATCATCACATGATTCACGATGCAGAGAGCTACAGAGTACAATGTGTTGAGTAAATTTTTTTTTTTCATTTCGGGGAAGCTGATGAGCATAAAGCATGTCGCGATCTATCATTCCATGACGGGAGACAGCATCGCCGCTTGAAGGAAGAACTTTTACGTTCAAATCATCGCTAATATCTGACATGTGCTTGCCTAGTCGGACTTACTCGCAGCTATGTCACTTTCTAGTTCTTATATCCGTTCTCATACCCGTTAGCCATGACCTCCTGGAGACCCTGGGGAGGACCGTTGGCCTGGCCCTTGGCGGTGCCGTTGACGGCGCCGTTGGTCATACCGTTCATGGTCTTCTTGGACTCGTGCATGGAGTCCTCGATAGGCTTGTCGTTCATGGTGTATCCAGTGTCGGATGCATCGACGAACGCGTCAAGACCGGCACCCTCGCGAGGGTACTCCTTCATCAGCTCCTTGTGTCGTCGCAGAGCCTTGTTCATCTCCTCGGCGGAGACATCGTTCAGGAATACGCAGGTACCAATGGGGTTAGGCACGGCAGCACGGAGGAGACCGTCACGGGTCTTCAGGATGGCCTTGGTGGCCTTGTCAAGCATGTCCTCGTCGAACAGCTCGTGGTCCATGGACAAACCAGCCCTCGAGAACAGGTTCAACAGTCTCCTGTGCTCCTCATCACTGAGGAGACCGCGCTGGTTCGCCAATGTTGCCGAGTATGCCATGTCGATAGAGATGGCATGGCCGTGGCGAAGTGGGACCTTGGGCGATAGCTATGGAAGAGTTAGCAAAGTCAACATTCGCAAGGTGTGGTAACCTTACCTCGTGGAGCGGGCTCCAGGTGTGGCCATAGGCAATGACACGGTCGAGACCGATCTCGTGAAGGTTAGGTGTCTCGAGTTTCAACATCTCGTGGATACCAGCACGGTTGATCTCATCCGCTGCTTGGAGGACCTCTTTGTCATCACCCTCACGGCCGAATCGAGAAGTGATTAGCTTCTCACAGTACTTGTCCAGCAAGTCGAATGTGGGCTTGTGGGCGCAGGTTGAGATCTTGATCAACTCTGCAAAGCCGTTTCGTACTTGACCCTCCGGTAGGGTCTTCAAGAACGAAAAATCGAGGAATGTGTGCATTGGGGCGTGGTACGCTCCGAGACGGTTCTTGTAGTTGCCGTAGTTGACGGCGACCTTGATGCTGACACTAGCATCAATCAGGCCAATGACTGTGGTGGGAATACGGATGAAGTTGGTATTCCTTCGGTAGGCGGCGCAAGCAAATCTAAGGTCACGAGTTAACTCCATTCTAACAACGCAGTCAGGCCAGAGTGCCTTAGAGCTATTTTTTACCCAGCAACATCAGTCACCAAACCACCGCCCTGTGATATATTAGCATCCTTCAACACCATCATCAGACTGGATAACATACGACAACAAGTACAGGCTCCTTGCGGATGATACCAAAGTCGGTCATCGAGTCAACGATGCTGAGAAGAGTCTCCATGGACTTGGCCTTCTCGCCGATCATGGTCTTGTGAATCGTCAAGGGTAGGTTGTAGTGGTCGAAGTACTTTTGCATCTCGTCGCCATAGACGTTGTAGATGTTCAAGTCCATGACGGCCAAGCAACGGCCCCAACGCTCATAGCACTTGGCTAGGTTGTTGTTGGCAGGGTTGAAGACGCCGTCAAGGAAGGTGAAGTCATATTCGATCTTCTCGTATCCCTCGACATGGAAGCCGTTCTTGGTCTCGACAACGGAAGCTTTGAGGTCTGACATGGTGAAAAGAATTTGAAAGGTGTAAATGAGATACGTTGAGTTCTGCGGGGTCAAGTACGGGCACGGCTGTCCTATATAAATGTCGACAGACCGATGTCGTTTGGGACTACTCATATAGCTCGCGGTACACGCTCCGCCTCCATTGGCTCTCGCACGCCAGCAACGCTCCAGACAAACGTCAACCATACGCATTATTCTCGTTCATGATGCGGCCACTCGTGGATCCCTTGTTGTTTGGACTTGGTACCACTTCACTTCGAGCGAAACTAGGCTCCTACTGGCCAGCCATGATGAAATGACTTCAACAACAGCGCCCTCCCAGCGGTAAAACCCGGTTCCGGCACATGGGATGTGCACTTTACTCATGCAACATGGGTTTTTGCGGGCTTGGACAAAGCAGAACTATCCTATTTTTCCTTCGGCCAAGGACGCAATCGGCGTAGCACAAGCCGCGAATCCATTTAGTGCCAACAACGGAGTCTCTCCCGTTGTGGAGAGGATGAGATACACTACATAAAACTGCGGGGCAATCATCGAAATCACCTCATCTCCACTTCAGGATTCCCATCATTCGATTGCTGACGTTGTGTGGCATATGTTAGGGAGTTTTCATTTGCCAGCTAGTCGAAAGATGTGCTGCGATGCGCGCAGGGCTGATGGTGCAGTACCGGTAGCCATACAACGGCACTTTTCTTACCCCTCAGTTCAGGGACAAGCTGGAAAAAAATGTGACGTTCGAGGGGATCTTTTCGATCCTAGTTCCCGCTTCGGGTAGATAGAGTTTGGCGGAGCCAGGATCGTTGAGGTATATTGCCTGGTAGAGGTAAGCGTACGTTGTCATGGCAGGTCTTTGTGGCTCCATAGTCGGCTAGCGGATGCAGAAAGCTCTAGATCGTTGACGACAGCCACATCCAACTCAACGTCAACACTATACAGAACCGTATATGCACCAATGATCCGACCCACATGAGCGTCGCGTATCCACATGGTATAGTATGAACTCGCCTCAACCTGTGCCAAGGGTGCCTTGACGCGTACACGGGGATGTGGCACCGAACAGGCAGGATATGGCGTCTGACACACATTGGCATCCCACCCTCAGTAAAGAGGTTTTGTAGAAAAAGCAATTTGCAGAAAGTCAATTGCTAATGTGCTAACATAAGGAGTGACATCTAGAACGACTCCACGGAAGCGGGATCCGTGCTAAAACGGTCGACCGAACCAAGCGCCACTCGTCGTACACGTTCCTGCATGCATTTCGTCATTACTGACCACAGCCCCGCACTAAACCACACGCGTTGAGGGGCACTCTCTAGCAGCTTGGACGCGTCGAGCTCACGGCTGCCCGCACAATTTCATACTGCCATTGAACAACAGCAACAATGGGTAGTTTCGATCAAAGCAAAGCCTATGCAGCGCAAGAGGAAGAGGGTGCCTTCTTCGACGATGGGCGAGAAATTGAGCTCCTGCACTTCGTCTACTCGCACCCCAACATCGAGAAGATACGAGGATCGCCAGAAAACGTTCTGGCTGCCATTGACGAATATGGCCGCACGAAGAAGTATCTCATGAACGTCGGGGAGGACAAGGGCCGTATCGTAACAGATTTGATTGCGGAAGTAAAGCCAAATACCATGGTACGAGACTTGTCGAACTCGATTCTACGTTTCTAACACCCCGCAGGTAGAACTCGGCGGCTATGTAGGCTACTCCTGCATTCTCTTCGCAGATGCAGTACGCAAAGCAGGTGGTGAGCGATACTTCAGCTTTGAGCGTGACCCCGCTTTCGCGGCTGTCATCATGTCTTTGGTCGATCTTGCAGGCCTCACCGACCTTGTCAAAGTAGTCGTAGGCTCAAGCGACGAGGGTATCGCACGACTGGCCGCATCAGGCCAACTCAAACACGTCGATCTCATGTTCCTGGACCACTACAAGCCAGCCTACACCACAGATCTGAAACTTTGCGAGGAACTTGGCCTGATCACCAAGGGCTCTGTGCTGGCAGCGGACAATGTCATCAAGCCCGGAAACCCGCCGTACTTGAAGTATGTCAGGTCGAGCGTTGAGGAGAAGATCAAGGAAGCAGGAGAGGGTGGGCAGACAAACCTCAGCGGCATTGCCGAGACGAATGTCAAGATGTACGAGAAGCGATATGGCAAGGCCAAGTTCAGCGAGAGCAAGGGCAACCCAAATCTCAAGTATGAGAGCAAGCTGGTAAACAGCTTTGAGCCGACTGGTGTACCTGTGAGTTCAAACACAGACGACGCTTTGCAAGCATTTACTGACTAGCACAGGATGGTATCGAGATTACACGATGCGTTGGTTAGATAGAAGCATCATCAATAGTCGGATACGCGTAATAATCTCTATGAATCGCAAGTTTCAGCGCTGGTGGGTCCTGAACGACTCAGACATGGGCATGGTACCCGACCACAGACCAGCAGGATAGCTACCGTCAAGGCTTCAAGGACAGCACGAATCACTGCAATAGACAATTGAATCCACATTTGAAAGCTTTTGTCGATCCATCTTTGCGAAACCGTATTGCACATATTGTGCGGGATGTCGAGAAAATAGCATGACACGTTGCATTCGAATAAACAAACATGAACCCCACGCACCCTGCATCCGCGGTACAAGCCCCTCAACATCCATCTGCCGATCACGGCCAGATCATTGTCTCAAAATCAGGATCTACTATATACAGATCGTAAACAGGATCGTGGAGTTCCTAGTGTTCCGCAATGTCGTACATGAGTGAAGTAACGATGACGTCGAGACTAGTCGTGCAGAGCCAGCACTCCTAGGCCAACAACTTTGTCTGGGCGAACGCAGCCGCACGCACATCAATCACCTCGCCTATGCAAGAACGGGTTGCGTGACTACGAGCCGTCTGTTTACTGCCCGCTAAATCCTACTTACTTGCAGTTTGCATTGCAGTGCAGCCTGCACCTTTTTTTTGCAGGGGCAATTAAGAGGTTCCTCGGTCTTACTTTTGATAAGGTAACGCCGTTGGTGGTGTGTTGGGAAACTTCTAAACGGTGAAGACTGCGCGAGGACAAGTGCCGAGGTCACGAGCTGCTCATTTTCATTAAGCAGCAACAAGGAAAAGACAATGGCAATGGCGGAAGGAAAGAAGGATTCGGTGGTGTTGCCATTTTACTATAGCCATGTGTGGAAGAACGTGCTTCTACTGGCTCTGAGCGCTGTTTGCGCGCCTCTCTCGGCAGCGCTGGTGTTGGTCGGTCTTGCAGTGTCCAAACTCCATGGACAGCGCAATGCAACGTTTTCTAAGGAGGATAAGCAGCATGTTGCAGCGGCACGAAGACGGAAAACTATTCTTGTCACAGGAGTGTCGATGACCAAGGGCCTTACTATTGCGCGCAACCTGTCTCAGCATACACCACATCGCATCATCGGCGCCGACATCTCTGCTTTATCACCAGGTCGCTTCTCCAACGCTATTGCAAAATACTACCGTCTGGACACACCAAGTGGCGACGATGCGGAGCCATATATTGATTCCATCCTCTCCATCATCCAGCGCGAGAAAGTCGACTTATGGATCAGCTGCTCCAGCGTCGTCGCAGCCGTAGAAGACGGTCAAGTCGTCCGCTTAGCAGAAAAGCAGGCGAAAGAACAAGGCCGCAAGTTTGAAGCCGTTCAGTTCCGGGAAGATGTGGTCGAAAAGTTCCACGAGAAGGACAAATTCATCGACTATATCGAATCGCTCGGTCTGCCAATCCCAGAATCGCACCGCTGCACCCACCCAGCGGAAGCTCTCGATGTGCTCATGGGGGAGCTTCACAGAACCCCGACAAAATCTGGAAGAACAGCACCCAGGCGACAATTCATCATGAAACCCATCGGAGTGGACGACAAGGCGCGAAACAACATGATGACCCTCCTCCCCTTCAAGACACCGGATGCAACAGCGCGATACATTCACTCTCTCAATATTAGCAAGGAAAACCCATTCCAACTCCAACAATTCATCAAGGGAAACGAATACTGCACACATGCACTCGTCATCCGCGGCAAAGTCAAGGCCTTCACTAGCTGCCCCAGCCTAGAACTCCTCATGCACTACGAACCGCTACCAGCGTCCTCCCCCCTCAGCAAGAAGATGCTCGAATTTACCGAGCGTGTGTGCAAAGACGGTGGCGAAACCTTCACAGGTCATCTGAGTTTTGACTTTCTAGTCGAGAACGACGACAAGGGTGCGGCTGCGAAGTTCTACCCTATTGAATCTAACCCCCGTGCTCATACGGCTGTCGTGCTCTTTGAGCAGACGCCCGAAATGGCGGAAGCATATCTTTCCATCTTCAACAGTCCTAACCCCTTGACCTCCAAAAACAAGCCTGGCCCTGTTTTCCCTCGTACTCCAACGTACAGTTATTACTGGGTCGGACATGACCTTGTATCTTTTGTCATCCTGCCACTTCTCGATCTCTTATTCGGTGCGACAACGCTGCAGAGTGCGTTCAATGATCTAGCGACATTTTGGAGTCATGTTGTGGGGTGGAAGGATGGGACGTATTTGTTTGAGGATCCAGTACCTTTCTTCGTCTTGTATCATGTTTATTGGCCGGCGAAGTTCTTGGATGCGTTGATAAGGGGGCAGGCGTGGAGTCGGATTAATGTCAGTACTACGAAGATGTTCGAGGTTTGAGTATGGGGTGATGGACGGGAGCTGGACGGGAGGAGTAGGAAGGTGCGAGGTGAGATCGGGAGTTGGTCCAATGCATGTCAGTATGTATAATTCTAGATGATTTTTCATGAAGTGTTGTATCATTACCGTGGCGTCGTCACTGGACCTGATCGCAATGTCGTGCTACCTCAACACTGCCACTCCTTACCAACCTGAGCTTGGGCTCTTCAATTCATCATCCCTTATCTACTACCCCCTCACCACCTTTAGTCCGAACTGGCATTACTATCAGTATCCCAAACCCTGCCCAACTTCCCGTCTCTAATGCTCAACCACACCTTCTTCAACTCTGCCGAATCCCATCTAGCTCTCTTCTTCAGTTCCGCAATAGCAATCGCCATCTGCCTCTGTAGGCGAGTCTGCTGGCCACACAGCGCCCGAGCCAAACTGCATCGAGCGTAGCAGCGAAAAGCGACATTGTGTTTATTAGTAGTGCTGTTGAGACGACGATAGTAGCCTCTGCGCGGCTGGAATATAGCTACTGTTTTGGTCTTCTTGGACGCACGGTAAGGATGGAATGCGGTCGTGTAGGATTTTCGAAGTGTGGTGCTGGAACGGGTTTTGCAATGGTACGTTCTTCTTTTCATAATTTTGCGCTTGATGGCAGGTGGTGAGCGAACCGTGGGTTCTGCGACGTTGAGTTGGTTGTTACGTTGGTCGTTAGGTGACGGTATTGCAAGAGAAGTTGAGTCTATGGTACTGATGATCTGTTGAATTGTGTCGTTTAAAGGTTGGCCTTGCCTTAATTCACCAGCATAGAGGTCAAGGGCGTATTGAGAGATGGTGCCATGTACAGGATTGCTGATCTGTTCGCAGAGGCTAGGAGTGTAGGCTGGGCCGTTCTCGGTGTCTTCATCTGCTTTGCGCTTGCGCTTGACGCCTTTCTTTTCGTTTTCTTTGTGTAATGAAACCCTACCGTTTTGAGTATCGATGTTATCTGTAATTGCTGAAGTTGCCGCCTTGTTTAACAATCCTCCCAGATTGTTATTTGAATGGTCTGTTCTTGTGAGCTGGTTGCCAGGCGTATACTGTGGATCATCTGCTGAGCCTCCATCTGCCTCGAACTTGTGCTTGAATCGATGATCGCCGTCGTCGTTACGCAGAGTAGTATTGGAATCAACATTGTCGTCAGCAGTTTTGAGCACCACCTTCTCGTCTTGAGTGACGGTGTCGTCGACGGTAGATGTGTCCCTGCCCGCCTCTTCAACAGCATACGAAGCCTTGAGACCCTCCCAATCTCCCTTGGCCCGCAACTTCGCGCGCTTCAACTCCACATCACCTTCACTACGAGTTAAATCCTGGATCATCTCCGCAACACGTCGAATCTGTTTCAACGGTACGACCTTGGTGGACAGCTGATATGCAGCACCTTCCTCAGCTTCCGCTTCCTCCCCTTTCTTAGTTTTTGGCTCGATTTGAAGCGCGCGGAAGAGATCAGTTATCAGTTGGAAGTTAGGGGGATCTGGATCAGCATTCATGTCTTCGGCGCGGAAGCGCTGGACTTGATCGCTCATCAGCACTTCCCCACGGATACGCAGAACGAGGTCGTAAGCGCGGCGGTAAAAAGAAAGGAAGTCAAAATTACTGTGCACCTCGTTCTCTCGTAGTTCTGATTTCATTGTACCGAAGAGCTTGGCGTGGGTCTCATCTTGCTTGTCGAAGTTGGGTCTGAGCATCCTGGATTTGCTCTTTCCTTTTCGCCTTGGCTTTGGAGGCGCGATGTTGGCCGCTAGGTTCGCGAATGTATCACGTAGGCCCTTCATGTCTTGAGTAGCTTCCTGGCAGTCATCATCTGGTGTCTTGTCGGTATCCTCGCTTTGTCGGTAGAGGTAGTTAAAGACTGCGTGACGCCTCAGCCAACGATCGTTGTCCGGATCTGAATCGTAGTAGTCGCAGATTTTAGCTTCCAAAGGCAATTCGGGTTGCAAACCACGCTTGGCACCAAGCTCTCTCGAAATTTGAGGTAGAAATTTGGACGTGTGACGGAAGTCTGAAGCCATAACGCGACTGCTAGTGTTGCCCGAGAGGAGAAAGCGGTTAAGGAAGTCGTTAGGGTGAGTAGGTGGATCACCCCGGAACATAACCTTGGCCCCATATATCATGATCAGGTAGTCCAGGTCTGGCCATGGAATCTCCAGACCACCCATCTGGCAGGCGGCGTTGTATAGATGGGCCATACCATGAATGAACCATTGTATCTTAGCAATCGCAGTATGATGATAGATGGAGTTAAAGTGCCACATGGAGAGTCCTGCGAGCGTCGAGTGGACAGTGATGAAGACGCTAGCAGTCATTGGCTTTTCTTGAGAGTTCAAGAGCTCTTGTAGCCACTCCAACAGCCTGTCTAGAGGACTGAGAAGGATGGTGCTAAATTTAATCTCTTCTTTGCACATGTAATCTGGCTTTGTGCCCTTGGTCCACATGCGATCCTCGTAATCGACATGATAACGGATGCATCTAGCGATATCCAAACCGTGCTCGGTAAGGTCGCGTAACATCCGACGGTAGTCCTCACGTACAGCTTCCTGGATGTCAAGGACAATGGCCAGACCGAACGGCAGGTAGTCCTGCGATGTACTCTGGTGCAATAACATCTCTTCAGTAAAGTGATCCCACTTAGGAAGTTTGAGACTGCCCTTGCGAATGACATCGAAGAACCTCAAGAAGAGCATGAGAGGATGCTCTCGTATATCTTCGTCAGCACTGTCCTCTGTTGGGTGTGTCTTTTTAATGTAGGCTTTGATCAAAGCAGCAGCATCCAGACCGAACAGGTGGCGCAATACCTTTTCAGCAGGTAGTGTCGCAGAATTTTGCGCTCCAGTCTCAAGAGCAGCTTTGGTTTTGTTGAAAAGTTGGTGGATGAGTTTGGCCAATTCTCCAGGTAGCAGATCAAGCTCTTCCACTAGTGACTTGACGTTTTGGTTCATTTGGTCCTGAGCCAGGTCTGATACCAACGCTGCTGTAATCGTATTGACGAGGCCCTTGTGATAGAGCACCCAGATATCGTAGAGGACATCTCGTATGCGGTTGAAAGTGTAGAGAAAGCAGAGTATAAGGAATTCCCGGCGCAGCTGCTCTTCCTCTGCAGTCAGCGGATTTGTCTCTGATATTGGTGCCTTCTTCTTCGTCCTGGATGTCGGAGTTTGTTGCTGCTGACCATCACTCTCCATTTCGGATTGGTCTTGTTCCTGCATTTTCTTAAGCAAGTCGTCTTGTTCGTCTTGGCTTGTCTTGGGACCGGTGGGAAGCTGAATGAACACGAATGTGGGCGTGTCGTTCTTGCGATTTCGAGCTTTGTTCATTCCAGGAACGAGAACCTTCAACGACTCCATGAGCGTCTCTAGGCTCCCGTTGAAGTATTCATGACCCAAATCCGCCGTGTTGTTGTGTTTGTGGTATTGCGTCACCTCTCTCCTTGAGCGGATGGCATCTTCGAGGTCGTTGATACCGGAGGTGTCGGCAAGTGGAACGCTTGTAGCAGTGATGGCGTTGACGAGTTGCTCCTGCTCTTGTAGTGGTATTCTGTAGCCCTTTTTGCTCTTTTTCTTCTTAGCCTGGTCTGCGACTATATTTGCGAGTTCCACGCCGCGCTGAATTCCTGTCTTGAGCAGCCATGCCTGAAATTGTTCGGTATACGTTTTGTAACGCTTGACTGTCTCGGGAAGTTCGTTCCGTCGATAGTAATCCATGTTGAAAGAGAATTAAGGAGGTAGTTGAGAAAATGAATGTGGGTGGTAAAGACAATTGAGAAGAGTTGAAGGCAGTGAATTTAGCTGGTGAAGTAGCTTCGCGAGCGCACTAGAGAAGCTCGCGAGGAAGTATCTGTGCTTTCTGATATTAGGAAGAATGAGTAACGATTATAGAATAAAACCTTAATGGCAGTGCGCTCACGGGCCGCCAACTTACAGTCAGGTATTACGCAAGATGACAGTCCCGTTCGCGATAATGCATTCAAGGTCCGCCTAGATCTTGCTGTCGCGTGATAATACTTGACGCAACCGAGTGGTGGTCTGGAGATTCCGAGCTCGGTGGTTCATACCCTTGCTATGCGCTAACGCTCGCAGGTCTCAAATTCAGATACACAAAGTGAAAGGAGGGAAAGGCCTCGTCACTAGGAAGACCGAAATCCTTCTCATGTCCTTCAAGGCTAGCGTCGTGGCCATTAAGGGCTTCGCTTCATCGTTAGCAGTACAAAAAGGAGTCGGCCGCTGTGGTCCATCAGAAGCCGTCGTAAAAGGCGCGGGATTGAACAGTATCCATTCACATATCCGCCCAGAGAATGTCTCACTCTACAACAACGAGCGCCATTCCTTACTTTCCGGCCTCTTGATTCCCAAATGATCACACATCAGCCCCATATGATCAACGCCCCAGAATCCCTCAGTCTCCCCCTTTTCATTCGTAGCAACAAACCAAGGCAGACCAAAAGCCCCATCCTCGAACGCCTTGGTCGTATTCCCACCTAGCACCTTCTTCACCTCCTCCGTCTTGGTCCTCTCTAGCACCTTGCTTGCCTCCTCCTCACTACCCAAAGCAACTGCGAGAATAGCAGCCAGGTTCTCCGGCTTGATTGGATCGTTCCATTTTGCCCAGAAGTTTTCGTAAAACAGGGCGATGGCTTGTTCAAGGGCTTGGGGATGCGATAGAGAAAGGGAAACTAGGGCGCGTTGGATAGGCAGTGTGTTGATGGGGAAGCCAGGTGGAGTATCTTGCGAGATGGGGACGTTAAAGTGAGTGGATAGGCGCTGGCGCTCTGTGTTTATCCATTTGTCTTTATCTGATTGGGCGTGTTAGATGGTAAGATAAGCAGCTGCAATGATGGTGACCCCGATGATGGTCCACTAGATGAGTCGTTTGTTGTATCTTTCTCTTTCGTGTTGCGCTTCCTCCTTACTGCGACCAAGCTAAGCTGCTCTTCTAAGAGAAGGGGAGATCTGACATACTTTTTATCCTCAATGGTG